TTTATAAATGCACAAAGTCCTGAAACCTAGTTGGTAATGGCCAAATAAACAATGATCTTTAAAAGAAATTGAATAAATATTGGTTTCATAAAATATGGATAATGCTGTATCAGGGGGGAAATAAAACGATCACCTCACAAATAACGCCACTGTTTTGGACCCTATACAAAAACGATATAAACCTTTTATATTTTAATCAATTTTCAATTTATTAATATCTCTAACTATAGTTCAATATAATAAATACATTAAATATTAATGAACTAGACAAATAGTTAAAATGATAATATCATTTTACATATTATGTAATATCGAATTAAATGATATTCGTAATAAATTACTATATATATTTATAACTAATTGTTTCTGTATATTATAAATTACGAAAATAGTTTACCTAAAAAGTATGTTTTATTAATTACATAATAATACGTACAAATATTTATGTATATTATTAATTAACATAATAATTATAAACAAATGTAAACAGATCGAAACTGCTTATTTCCATTCCACCAAAAGGAAGTGAAATTTAGTAAATCTAAGATCACTTATATAACAATCTTAATTTAACAAAACAATGATAAAATGCTATACTGGAAAATTACTTAATATAACTCAATTTTAATTTATTTTTCCAAGAAAATCTTCAATTTTCGTAAAGTGACTTTGAGTAATTGTTAATGTTGATAACAAAATTGTGTTAGCTTCCCCGTAAAAACTTAAATGATTAGTACATTCACTGACGCAAAAATTTATCGACAACATTTTTAGTTTTTTTTGAAGTTAAAGTGTATGATCTTTGATTTAAATATCAGCTGATGTAAATTATAGGTTTTACTTTTGAGTAATGTTTGTTACATTAATTAAATGTTTATAGGATAGCTAATTAAATACCTCTAGTACTATCCACTTTAAAATATAATTTTTATATTTATAGCAACATCTTTAAGACTAAATAAAAGTAACCAATTCTCAAATAATAAATTATGTTTCTAATTTATAAATAATTAGATAGATACTTGTGATACTTTAAAAACTATATTTCAACATCAAATGAATAGTTATGATGAGACCTAATATTTTATCACTGGTTTGCACAAAATAAACTATACTATAAAGAACTTTTAATCATAACAATATCAAGCGTATATCTAAAAAATTTCAAGACAGATACAAACATTTTTTTAGTCACTGAATAATAAGATACAACCACTCAAAAAGTGTCAAGCTGTGTAATTATCATTTTACTTTGTCACCAAAACGGAACCTTTAAGCCTTATTGATGTTCTTCGGAGGCATAAACTTTTGATTTATTAATAGAAACATAAATCGTTTTTATTTAAAATAAATGTTAATTTTTATAATGGATTAATCCTATTCATTTAGCTTTAGTAAAAATCGTTATTAAGAATATCAACAGAAGGAATGTCGTTCCTGCTTTGAAAACGTGCTTAAACCGCGGTCACAGTGATCCTGTATGTACTATAATATTAAAAATAGCCTATTCTTTTAACATCTTGAAGACATTGTATTATTACTCTTCAAATATTTTTTACAGAGGTGAAATTGTCATGTAATTTTTGTTTCACACAAACAATTATACAAACACAGTTAAAAATAAAACAATTCACATTAAGAGAAAATAAATAAATAAAAATTAAGATGACTGTAGTTAAGTTATATCACCTTATTTACATCTGTTACTTTTTTTTTTTTTATAAACTTTATGAAACATTAAGTAGATTTTTTTCCAGTTATTGGAATTTGGCAGTCTAGATATCAAAAGTGTAAGATGTTTGGATTAATGAAATTTTTAATTAAAAGATATCAGCAGATATTTTGTAAAAAGGAAAACTGTGTCACGGTCACTTCAGTGTCAGTTATAGTTTAAAAAATAAAAATGATTTGCTACAAATTTTTAGCTAGCTTGAACGATTGTTATAAAAATCGTGTGCACATAATAGACGTAATTCGACATGAGAGACAATTGTCGCACTATGGACAATACAACAACAGCCACAACAACACGGAACACGGTTTTGGATAATTAGTTTCGGCCGAGTTCATCGGTGCGAAGGAGAAACGCGCGCTGGAGGATCAATTTCGATGTTGTACTGCGCAGTGAACTAATCTATATGAACCTTCCATATGGTATGTGCATATGAGTATAGGAAGGAGAATTACACTAGCTATAAACGACTATTTGTTTCTCGGTCAAAAAATAATCGCTGAGATCACAAGAATAACAATAAATTTTATTTCATACCTAATAATAACGATATTTTTATTTTATGACATGATTTGAAACTAAATTCAATAATTAATATAAAACTTTGGACTGATTAAAAATTTTAAAAAAGTTCATTTTTTTATATATAGAAAAAAATTAAATTTTTTAACGCTTTAATATTTTTAAAATAAGAATGATTTTACTTATTATAATTGTGATAACACTCGGCGATCATTTAATTAATTTGATTAGTGGTATGGTTTTGTCGTTTTTCACGTTGAATAAATTATATTTAATCAAATTCAATAGGCTAAACTAGTCAACAAAATTTGTTGACTTGTTAAGTTAAATTTATTTTGAATGGAGTTAAGTAAGCTAAGCTAAAAGCTAACTAATATGTATTGTTTAACTCGAATAAGTAAAACGGGAAATAACGACTGCATTAGAAAAGAATTTACTAATAAAAATAAATTTCTTTTCTCATTGAATTTTTTCCCATCTTCTATGATTGGGATCATTACAAAAAACATATTAGGTGACTCGAATGCTAAAAAATCTGGTAAAGTATAGTTTACTATCTTTAAAAATACATTGGTTATAAGAATATTGTTGTCAAATTTGCAGATTGAAAAAAAAAATTTATATTGTATATAAATATATACATTTATTTATTTGGTGTAAACGCCCAGGTAAATGATTTAATATATGTATAAATGGATTTTAAAAAACAGTATTATCCATTTTTATGATTTTATTTCACTAATAAAATATTTACAATTATTTTTTGTTAATTTATGATGACTAGATGTGAATCTTAATATTTTAAGTGAACACAAAAACTTTTAATGTATAAAAAAAAAAAAATTCTGGCAATTTTAAATTGGCGGTAAATTCTATTGACTTGGAGTGTTAAATTAAAAAATACGACACTGATTTTATTTAAAGATGACCTTTATAAAATATTAACTATAAAAATCTCAACTTGTCTTAATTTGGAGCTGAAAATAGAACCAGTAAAACTATTTAAAAGTTAAATGTACGTAAAGTTTAAACTAATAAAGCATGAAATCCTATTTTGATCAATCAAAACATCACAATTATATTTTAATTAAAATTCTATAACATTAGTAGGTAACAAAAATTTTTAACAACCATAATATTCAATATAATAAAAAATATTTGTTTTTATTCGTAAATATATTAGTTTAACAATGACATAGAGTTTTAGTGTAATAGTAACATTTAACTGATGATAAAGCTATTTTAAAATTGATAATATGAAAATACAAGTATTTCGTAAGTAAGTCAACTCGTGTATAATAATAATAATTTTTTAGATCATAGAATAAAATTAATTTACAAATATAAATGATCTAGTGATATTGATAATGATACACTTTAATATTTAATTCCATATCATAGCAAACGAAAAATTTGCAAGTTTATCAAAAAATTTTAAAAAAACATATCAATTGATTATTAACATTAAATTACTAACTAAAAATCTAAATATTTTCATTTTTCGTTTTTTCTATTTAACCGTTTAATATTAAAATCAGATATTGAAATAAAACTTTCATATTGATAAATGGTTTTATTAAAAAAATATATATTTTATGAAAGAAAACTAAGTGATATTGCCATCAAAGCCTACATTAGTGTAATTTGGAAGGATTTAATAGAAAAATTCCCCTTTGCAAATATTGAGGTTGTATATTAATTAGTTATTAAAAATATTAACAATAATGAACTACAACTCATTGAAATAAAATAATATTTGTAATTATCTGTCTAATTCCACAATTAAATGGAACAAACTATACAACTTGTTGATAAAAAAAGTAGTCTAGAAACTACCAGAACATTTTTCTTCAACTTAACTTTATTTATTTAAAATATTTTTATAAATTTTAGGGTCATTATGAGGTAAACTTTTTTTAATAGTGATAACATATAAGATATAAAACTCCATGATTTCTGTACATTATATTTTTTATATCATTGAAATTTATTATTTACCGTCAATATAAAAATAAAAGCGCTAAACATTCAGGCTACTGAATGTATATAGTCTCTACTACACGTTATATTATTCCAACGAAAACGTGTTTCATTGAATAGGTAACGTCATTATAAATCCATTAGAACTAAAAAAGATTGAATCTTTTTTTAATCAATTTTTTGTAGTATTAGTTTTTATATTAAAATAGTACATTTTTCATTATACTATTTTCGTTTTGTTTTCTAGTCTTATAAAGATAAGGTAAGGTATTAATGTACATTTGATATACTTATTATTATTGCTATTATAAGACTTATTCATAAACAAAGTAATCGCCTAAGTCTCACGTAATACCTTCAAAATTATTAAATAAATCGTAATTTTTTTCACATATTATTAGTACTCCACACACTTAAATTAACACAAAAAATTTAATCCAGCCACCCTTCTTGCCCCTCAAAATTGTATAATTTTAAGTTATTTTAATTTAGACCACGTTGTTCCTTGGTGATCATGTACTGGTGTTCGATTTTGTTGTGCTGAGCTATGTAGGTATTACCGTCTCACAAACATAAGCATAGTTTTTCAGAATGGTCGTTAAAGATAAATAAAGAAATAATAATAACAAAATGGAAAAATGCATGTTTAACTTGTTTACATATTATAAAATAATCCAACTAAATATATATATGTATTTTTAATAATAATCAACTTCGTTGAATATTTCATAGTGCTAGAAGAATATACACAAATTTTTCTACAGACCTTTGAAGACTGTCTGTATTCATTGCATATTGAATTCTTTATAAAAAAACTAAAAAAATAAACAATAAATGTTAAAATTTGAGATTTAATATAAAACTTATATTTATAATAATCTAAACATAGATAACACCTAGGTGTTATACCTATTATTCAAACATTTTTTATCATTTTAGTCGTTAATTGATTTAAAGTCACATATTTAAATATAATAATTTTTTTATCCTCTTCATTTTTTTTTATTAGAAAGGTCCTGACAAAAATTTTTTTGAAATGAATATATTATTTAAATGTATAGCATTTTATAATGATTTTTGTAATATTATACCGATTATTAAAATACTAGTCATATTTATAATATACCATTATACTAATAAATAAAAGATTATATATATGATGTCAGCGCAGCTTTTATTGAGCAACAAAATCAATAAAGCTCTAGGGCGCGGCAAGGTCATCCTTAACGTTTACATCTCCATTCTTGCGGAATTCACTACTCCGTATTACCCTTAGTAGTTTTCGATAAGGACTAGTCAATGTTTTAGAGTTTAATTGTTGGGTTATTAGAATACTGTAGTACTCTATTGTAATATAGTAATATGTATGTTGCTAATTTTGAAATCTCATTTAAGAAGAACCGTTTTTTCCTTTGTAATAATACAATGAAAAATATTTCACTATCAATTGAATAATACATTAAAAAAAATATTTTATCAAAGAAATTATGCGGTCTAGTTTTCGTAATGATAGAAAGACTTTCAAATATTAAAATTATATATTTATATGCACAACACAGTACTAATGTAAAACACGAACTTATAAAACGAATAACGCACTTAAAAAATAAAAACAAATTTTGTATATAATAATAACAAATTATTTGAGGCAGGTCATAACAAAAAAAATATTAAAAATATTACCTATATACTTTTTCTTAGATTTATGTTCTTAGATTTTGGCCTTATAGTGGGGATTAACTACAACAAATTTTCTCTTACTCTACAAAAAATGTATCTTAACTGCATAAATGTTTTCGTTATTGATAATCTATTTACCTAAATTCTCCCTTATTTAAGAATCAATATTTATAATTATGTATTATTAAAACGTATCTTTATAACACAAAAATGAATTGTTCATTTATTATTTTATAAAATTATCAAAATTCTCAATTTTAACTACTTCTGCCATTTTCTTATCAGTTTCAATTTCTCTGCTTGTGTACTGATCCTTATTAGTATTGCACTTATGTTGGAGCATTTACGTATATACTTAAACGTTTTCGGTGATTATAAAACCTGCATGGCAACTGGAAAAACTAGTAGGCGGTCGCTACGTCGTAAAAACCGGCTAGAAGAGAACGCAACTAAGAGCAGACAAATGACCGTACCTGACCTGTTACTTCTTAAAACAAATCATTTAATAAATGATCATTCGTGTATTAAATGATTTAATAATAACGATTATTTAAAAACTAATATGTCACAAAGGTATTATTTTTAGAACCGTTACGACCGTAATTAAAAACTTGGAGCTCTAAGCCCCCACAAAAGTGAGGGCCCGATACGTACTAGTATGTTTTTTTTTGCTTTATTTTTTATAATTCAATAAAATGTTAAATTTCTTTTATGTTTGGACACAAGTAATGGCGAGTATTTCAGTTAGTCTTTGTTGTGAATATGTAATGATTTGTATAGTTTGTAACAAAACAATAATCTATAATTAGTATGGATATAGATCTCCACCGTGTTGATTCAGAGATAAAATAAAAACTTATATGAGTATTAACATAAAGCAGTTATAAATAGATAATTGAATATTTAGTATCAATTTTGCGTTTAATATTGATAATGATTTTATTAATACAATGATGGGGAATATACTTTATGTTTACATTCTACAACCATTTTAAGCAATTATAAAAAAAAAAAAAAAAATTCTCGCTTACAAAAGAACGTGAGAATTATGTAAGAACTAGTTTAGTACAATTTTAAATATTTATTAAAATTATTTTTTAGTATTAGTCCCTGTATAAAGGGATCAGAATAAATGCCAGTCGTCAGAAGAGACTACTGATATCCGGTATAAAATTTTGTTAATAAGTATAAAGAATCGTGGACAAAACATAGGCGAATTGTCCCATCTTGGATAGCTTGTGCAGTAGCTGTTTTACCACTATGTTTATAGGTCTACTCAATACTTATAGTGTCAACGGTGTAGAGACATCAACAGTAACTTTAGGTTGAACTCATATCTAAGTGTAACAGATAAGTATAAAGTAAAAATAGGTATAGAGAATGTTGAATTATTAACTGATAGGGGTAGTGAATTAGTAGAAGTATTAAAGAGGAGGAAAGTCAATATACGTTATATACAGGAAACTACATAGAAAGGAGAGAAAATCAAAAATAGGTGAGGGGTATAAAACAGTTTACTCAGGTAAGCCAAATACAAGGAATGGTGTAGAAGTATTAATAAGGAGATGAAAAGTAAAATAGTAGTCAGAAAAGTGGTAGAATTATAGAGAAATGGATGAGATGCAAAGAATACTAAATAATGGGAATGAGTGATAGATGGGAATATGATTGGACATATGGGTAATGAGAGGAGAGTAGGGTTGTAGAAAGAAAAATGAAGCTGGAAAAAGAGTTCCAGATTTTATAGTATCATACGATCTTGATGTGTTTCATTCCTATTTAGGACGAAGGAAAAGCATTATATAACATATAAGAGTAGAAGCAATAGATCAATAGAAAAGTTTGTTAAGTTATCCCTGGTGAGGATGTGAGAAAACAACATAGATTGCTGGTAATTTAGTTGCTATGTAGTGGAAAAAATGTATACATAAATAGAAAGAATACGGGAAAAAAGTCAAGGACTAGATTGTGGTAATTAAAAGGAGAAAAAGAAAAAGATTTCTTATTGTGGAATGTAGAAGAAAGTATAAATGATTTGTAAAATAGGATTACCACCTCTGTAAAGATTATTGCAAAAGAGATTGTCAGTGGAAGTAGGAGTAGAATGTCAAAAAACAAAGAAACGTGATGTTGGGATAATTAATTTCAGAAAATTAAGAAAAAGCAATTTAAAGTGTAGCAGAAAAGCAGGAGGGAAGATTGGATAGAGTACAAAAGTTTGTATACAGAGGCAAAAGGTGCAGTAAGAAAGGCAAAGTATAAGAGGTATAATGAGTTATACGATAAGTTATACAAGTTAGGAACAAAGGAAAGTGAAAAAGAAATTTTTAGATTGATAAATGTTGGAGAAAAATGATCCAAGGATATTTAAAATATATAATGCATAAACAAATGATGATAAGAGAGTATTAACAAACAATAAGAATGCGAAAAAGAGATAGAAAGAGTATTTAAAAAAATAATGATTGAGGAGTATTTAAGAGGTGCTTAAGAAAATGTTTCGTGAAATGAAGGTCGAACAGATTTAATAAGTGAAGAGGAAGTATAGGAGGCTGTGAGATCGATGAAAAAAAACAATAGTGCTTGATAAAGTGCCAATAGAAATGTAGAAAAAATTAGGGAAATACATTATTTTGTGTGAGACAGCTAGCTAATAGAAAAGTATAGGGAAAGAAGAAAATTTTTTGTATGGTTTTATAAATTTAGAGAAGCCGTATGACAGTCCTGAGAAAGGTTTTATGATAGAATCATGTTAGGATATGTGTGAAGATACTTGTACTAGGATAAAAAATGTGTGAGGAGAAACAGAAGATTTCAAAGTAAGAATAGGTGTGCACCACCTTTTAAGTTCTTATCTATTTTCTATAGTAATGGATGAAATTACTAGGGAAATACAAGGAGAGATACCATGGTACATGTTTTTGCTGATGATATAGTATTGATAAGAGATAAAAGGGAGAAAGTAAATCAAAGACTTGAAATGCGGAAATTAGCCCTCGAAAGAACGGGATAAGTATTAGTAGAAGTAAAATAGAATATAAAGAGTATGAGTTAGACAAAAGATCGTGTTAAGTAGAGGTTGCTGGATAGATAATATGGTTAAAAAAATGTTTTATTATGCAATCTTTCCGAATTCACATATATTTCTAATGATTCGAATGATTTGACTCAAGTAAACAATGTGCTTCTGTTTCTTAACATACATGCTATTTCAACTTCTATTATTTGCTTGGGTAATGGCGAACCGGACTTAATAATTAAATATTTTAAAGAATTTTTGTAACTTTTAATATGTATATTAAAAGAAAAGAGACTACCCCTTCCAAAAGAAATGTTGTAGCTAAATGGTTTATGATAAATTGATGAAACGAATACAGAGGAATTCTTTTAAAAATCACTCGATAACCACTTTTAACCAACCGTTTCCTCTTAAAATAATAAATATGTTAAAAAAATTATATTTTTAAGTATTATTTAATTCACACTTCAAAATTATAAGTCAGAAAGTTTTTAATCGAATTTTTAATTTATTTTAAAAATAAATTAATTTCTCTTTACAGATTTATATCGAAACGTTTTTTATGACGGTGATCTTTTTAAAACTTGTTTAACAAGTTGGAATTCTTTAGTTTTATACATTTCTCTATTTATTAATTAGTTATTAATTACTTTTTTAAATCATCCCTTTAACTTTATAAGGTTGTCAAATTTATTTTTTTAATTGAAACATTCATATTTAAAAAGTTTATTAAATTAGTTGATACCCTAATAAAGTTGAATTTTCACAGAAAATACTTTAGAGTTAAATTAATTTGTCTTTTATGTATTTAAATATTTTTTTTATTTATCTGATAGAAATTTTTAAGCATAAAATATTGAGTATTTAAAAGGAAATCATGAATTTTTGAACTTATATACGATATAAACTTTTTTTTGTTTTATTATATATGTAAAATATTACCCAGAAAAAATAATTGAATAATATTCCGAGCAAAAGCAAGAGAAATTTTTTTGGTGAAACCAAAGACTTCACATTCTCAAATCCTATCCTGTATGTTTGCACAAGTAATATGATTTTATTCTTGAAATTATTGTAGGATAATAATTATTCTACAGCAATTATTGTCGTATTAAACAATACTTATGTAACAGGAATTTCGGAAGTCTTGGTAATATTAATCAAGTAATATATACAAAAATAATTGGAAAATAATCCAAAAGGTATAATCTATAAAATATATTTAAACCCCTTTATTTGTACAACATATGGTCATTATTCATTTTTTACATCCGGGGGGATTGTGTATATATGTGAATAGCACATGAATCAACTGTTAAGTATTAGTAACTTTTTATAAACACGCAACGATAGTACACCCAAAGAAAAACCTCAATCAATTTTGATAGAGAAATTTTATCAAGGGTTTATGATAATGTTTTATTATACGAACAAAATAATTATTCTTATAAATAATTATTGTTCAAGACAAGAAAAAAAACTATCATATTGATAAATATATCATAGTTTCAATAGTAATGATAAATATATCAAATTGAACAATGAATTTATTATATAGATCGTGGTTTTTCTCTGGGTGTAATGAAAGTTATTAAAAAACCGTCAATTCACTATCAAGGCAGCTTCAAATTTTTGTTAAAATTATGTTTTTATGAGATTTTATTTAGGAAAAAATATATCCTAAGTTATAATATGACAGAATATATCAAAAATAAAACACAATTTTTTGGGTAAAAATCTGTGAATAAGGGTACATTATAACATTTATTAAACAGTAATGTAGCTATAAGACTACAGGACCATAACCTCCCTATTGACTGCAATATTTATCTCAAAAGTGAAGTGGTAAACAAAAAAAAAATCCTTAGCCAACCTTTTTTTTTTCAATTCAATGAAAAATAAAAAAAAATTTTTTTGATAGGCAAAAGAATTGTCTTTAAGGGCGGCACAATTCCTAAATGCGATTCTGATATTAAGTTCTAACCTCAAATAAATTAGACGAAAAATGTTCATACTGTTATATAATTATTGTTAGGTTAAAAAAAAGACCCAAAAATAATAATTATATAAAGGATTAACTAATTTACTTAACTCTTCTGAAAAAAAATTAGTAAACTAAAATTTCATTCTAGCAATGTTTTATTGGGTGAAACAAACGTTATAAACTTTATAATGCGGATAGCATTATAAGTAAAAAAAAATTTAATTATTACAGTAAAAGTATTTTAATCATACTTTTTGGCAACTAAAATATCGTGTTTTTCTTTTGTGAGTTTTTTGTAGTTTTCCACACCACTTCAACCAATTTCTAATGTCTCGTAGTAAATTTTGAATTTAAAATGGTGTATATAATTATGGCCAAATTCAGAAATGTGGAGGCTTTGCAGAAATACAGGTATAATTCTTTCTTTTTATCTTCGGCAGGTATTTAGTCATTATCCGAAAAGAGATATTAGAAAAAGGGCCGAAACTCCATATAAACATATTAGATTTTTGTTCATTTTTTATTTCTTTATACACCCAGAGAAAAACCTCGATCTATATAATAAATTCATTGTTCAATTTGATAAATATATCATTACTATTGAATCTATGATATATTTATCAATATGATAATTTTTTTTCTTGTCTTGAACAATAATTATTTAAAAGAATAATTATTTTGTTCGTATTAATAAAACATTATCATAAACCCTTGATAAAATTTCTCTATCAAAATTGATTGAGGTTTTTCTTTGGGTGTAGATAGATTTTAACCTCTCTTAGTTGCATTGATATAAAAACCTCTAAGAAATTCATACCGGGAGTTCAAGAAACGTAGTATCACAATTGACCAAATCTAGTTGAAGATGAAAACTAAATTTAATTTTTATGATACATGTTACATTTACTGGAGTAGTAATATAAATTAATTATCTTATCAGGCGAAATCACGGAAATAATATAGTGGTTTCCAACAAAGCTAACACAATTGACTACTCATTTTTCCGGATGTTCTACATTTCTATCAATTAGCTTCTAATACGATAATAAAATTTTACTTTTTAAATAGTTACTCAAAATATGAAGCTAGAAGCAAAGATATCTGAAAATGATATCGAATAGGAAGTTATTACAAACAATTTAAAATGTTTATTTACGGACCCAAAACAGTAATGACAATAAAAACATTCACTATTAAACTCAAAACAGTTAGTTTATTATAAGTATACAAAATTTTGGATGTACACACAATTTTCACTGACGTCGCAGAATAATTACATAATTGACGTGAATAGAGAAATGTAAAAAAATCGTATTTTTATATCTGTAGTATTGAGTGACTGTTAAATTCGATAATATAATATAAAAATAACCAATGACATAAATTTACCAAATAAAAATTGAAAAAAGTTAAAGATATCTATGAATAAGATTAATCAACAATAAAAAAAAAAAATGAAAAGAACAATAACAATAAAAAATTAAATTTTAAAACTGTATTAATTGGGTAAAATGATCTAGAGCGAAGAATAAGTATTTTAAAAAAATGAAGACAAGTCCATTTTTATACAGCAATTTAAAAACAAAAAAAAAATCATATTTAATATTATTATATAATTATATAATAGTCTGTTTATTTTTTAATAACATAACATAAAATAAATTGTGATTTAACTATGTGGTGCAAAAGCAGAATAATAATCTATTTGATAAAAATATTGTTTGCCACCAAAGTATTAAACTGAAATTACATAGCAAAATTTGCTAAATACTTAAAATAAAATAAAGCTTCTACGCGTGCAATATATACATTTTTTTTATGATATCATTACAAATTATAATAAATAATTGAAACTAAATAATACAAATATAGTTTTTTATAAGTTTCGCTGTAATATTATTATATATTATCGTCTTTACAATATTTTGCAATAATATTAATAATCTATTGTTTATCATAATTTAACTTTTGAAAGAAACATTTACTACCATAAAAAAATTTATCAACTACATTTATTACGATATTTAAAACAAATCATCATCATACAATTAAATTCACATATGTAAATAAGATCACTCACTAGAATTGGAATTGAAATCATTTTTGTACATAATACATAAAAAAAATGAGATAATTATAAAACTAGGAAAATTATAATTTTTTCAAAATAACTGAAGGTCGAGGAGAATTTTTGAAAATAGCTCTATTTAGTAACAGTTCTCCAGTCAACTACACTTATGATATAAACTTTAAAGTCCATTACTTTTGAATTAATTTTTTGTCCATGGATCCCTTTAGTATAGAACCTACATTTTTATCTTTAATTAAGTTAAAATAAAATTTTTGTAACTTGATTAATCAAATATAAAAAAGTATAGACAAATTTCATGCAAAAATTACTTACTTTTGAAAAATACTAAAAAGTATTTTAAATAGAATTCTATTTTTTAGTTATCACAAACACAAGATTTCCAAATAAAACAATGACAAAAGGAACATTTATTTTCAAAATCACGTAATTTTTTTACTTTACCCGGAAAAATACTAGTAATACAATATAGCTACTGACGCAAATGTTTATAACTGACTGGTATTCTAAATTTGCGGGTAAGTTTAACACACCGATGTGTGAGTTTTACTACATCGCGAGAGCCGGTAGAACAGTGTAACCAGCTTACACATAAAATAAATGAACAATATGGAAAAAAGTTGTGACCATGACGAAAGATATATCTACAACAGAAGTAATGGAACAGACTATATGAAAAGAACTGTACTTTCATATATTCTATGGTATAGTCATATAGACTGACAACAAGTTATAATATAATTCTTATAGTCTATCAACTGTATCATACAGTCTGTAAGTTAATACAATGATTCAGCATATATATGATAACCACTCATAAATACATTTATATATTGATGTCATTATTTTATTCGTACATTTCATTAAAATTGAGATACCAATAATTTAATTTGTTAATAATAGATCCATTAGAACAGGAACTGTGAAAAAACTTTGTCTTTTAATTTCTACGCAGTTCAGTTATACTTTTTTAATAATCATGGAATTTCCCAATTTGGGACAGCATTGTTCAAAAGATACTTGCAAACGTCTTGGTAAGTCCATTTAATTAAATTATTTCAATAATTCTGTTTTTATAATCTATTATAACATTCAATAATTTTTACCAATGTCCATATATTTATTATTGATATCCATACAAAGTTGTTATCAGAACAAGTTTGATAGAGGGCATAAGAACCAATTGTTTTAATTTATAAAAATTTTTTTTTATTTTTTATGGAAAAAAATTAGCCTTTAAAATAGTAAAAATTTTGCATTCATATGATTACTATAAAGAACAGTTGTTTAGGAATTCTTTACAAAAATAAATTTGCTATAGTACTTTAAATATCTAATCCAATATTAATTAATAACATGTACTAGTGACATTTTTATTTACTTTTTATTTAGTTAATTCATAAAAAAATGATTACTCTACACTATATAATAGGTGTTCTTAGACAACTCAATTTACTAATTGTTAAAAATATTTTTAATTGTGTTTTTAATATAATAAAAACAACAATATAAGCTATAATATCATCATAATAAGGTGTTATGTCACCTTATCATAAACGTAAACCTTCAAAAATATAATATACCTAAAGATTTATCTATATTGTGATACAAAACAATTTTTAGAGTAGAACAATATTTGTTTTAAGTCCTCTTAAAAGTTTGACCCTTAATTATCTGTTATTAAAATTAATTTACATCTTTTTTTTAATAACATTAAAGTGGTCACTTTAATGTTATTAATGTCTGTCTAAAAATTTCAAGTATTAAATTTTGTTCCTTGGTAATTAAAGCTCAACTTTTATATAGTTTCTTTATTATACATTTAAATAACTTATTTATTTAAAAACTAAAATACTTTTTCTAGATTTCTTACCAGTCAAATGTGATGCATGTTCAAATATTTTTTGGTAATATTACATGACTAATTTCTTATACAGAATGTTTAACAAGTAAAATTAAAGGCTATCAGTGTTTGTAACATTGGATCTATTTTTTTACTTAATAAACATTCTGTATAAATACATAAAGGTAGGGTTTTTTAAATTTGAATAACTTTATTTTTATAGTTCTGATCATATGAGCTATAGAAGTCATCAATGTCAATCTACCTTTAAGATAAATATTCAAGTGCCTATTTGTCCATTATGTAATAAACCAGTTCCAACACCTAAAGGTCAAGAATCTGATTACACAGTTGGTCTACATATTGACAATGATTGTCGTATGGCTGAGGGTAAAAAGGTGATAAAAAAACATCTTTGATTATTTTGAATTCTTATTTATTTATTTTGTTAAGGTATTTACTAATCATTGCACAGTATCTAAGTGTCGTGGCAAAGAAGCAGTTCCAGTAGTATGTAGTGAATGTCATCACAACTATTGTTTTAAACATCGTCATCCGTTAGATCACAATTGTATTGGAAACAAAAGAATTGTTCAAAGAAAAATAGAAATAAAAAATAGATTAGGAACTAGCAGCGTTGTAAAAAAACCATTTACCACATCTTCCATTCAAGGAAACCTGGTAGTAAAATATAGTCATGAAATTATTATATTGATTTTAATTATCTTCATTTGGTGGTTATTAGAGTGAAGATGAAGCATTAGCTAGAGCACTTGCAGAATCTGAACGTCTAAATCAAAGGACTATGAATGACCAAGAACAAAAGTGTTCAGTTTCTTAAAAATCTTAAATTTTGTATTACCAAAGATTCTTTTGAAAATAATGATATTTCGATTTTAGCTCAAAATCCAAGTTGGGTATATTCAATGTTTATTCTTCAATTATTCAAAAAGTTTATTGTACATTCCAAATGTTATGTATTCATTTATGTTAATAACTTTAACTAATTGTGTATATTTTTAAATACTTAACACTTTTTAGTTAAAATAAATATAAATTTATAATATACTACTTTTCTTTTGTCAGAATATTGTTACAATACTAAATAAATTGTTGTTCAATCTAATTTATGAAAAAATACTCGTACTTATTAATGTTAAGAAAAAAAAATTTAGAATAGAAATGTTCATGTTTAACATGAGTAAATAATGATCAGTTTTATATCCTTATATTGTACCAGAAACCAGACACCTCCAATGAGAAAATCACAAGAAATATTTCATTGGCACCCTGGAATTCAAACCGGGTCTTTATGTGTTGAAACATATTTCTACCCACTAAGCCAGGCCAACTCCTTAATGTTTAACATAAGAAAAATATGATGATTATACCATGATATTATTTAAAAAGGTACCCAGTTATTCTCAAGATTTTTTACTTGTCTATTACTAAATTGGACTTAATTTTTAAAAAATAAAAAATGTAAGATGTATGTGATAATTATTAGATTATAATCTAATAAAATAGTATTATCTAACAATAGTACTATATTTTCAACAGTAAATTTATGCTCATAGTTTCATTTTACATCTAAAAAAAACTACATCATCAAAAATAAAAAAAACATTAAATGTGTTAAATAATTATTTTATCAAGTCAATCAACATATACTAACACATTCTATTAAAATATAATTAATATAATAATAATTGCAAAGTATGATAAATGTACATGATGAGTATAGTATTTACAACATTTGTTTTTTCAGTATAAAAAAATAATAAAAATTACATTTTTCAATTAAAAAATCATATATAATAAAAACAATAAGACATTTTTTATATGTGATAGTATAATAGATTTGTGACATTTAATTTTACATAAGTCTATTAAATGTCATGTTGCAATTTTTTATTTGTTTATTTATTTTTTTGGTTTCATATTGTACTGTCGTAAATGATATAGAATATATTATTCTATAGATTAAACACATTTAAAATAATAATAATAAATCACTGAAAATTATTATTATTACATAGTTCATATTAAACACTAAAAGAAAATAAATAAATAAAATATTTTAAACATCATACTAATCTTTTTTAATTGTTTGCGGAGCTTCTGCAAGACCTTTTACCTAAAAATAAAAATTAAAAATATTTAGTATTATGTATCAACTTTAACAATTTATTGGTATTTTTGGATATCAGTAAAAATATACTTTTAAGTGATTTCTAGATAGAATTAAAATTAATATTTTATGACTTGAAATTGTAGAATATATTAAAATAGATATAATTTAAAAAGACTACTGTTCAAAAACTAATTATCCAAAAGCTGAACATTGAAGAACAATATAATCTAGTTTAATTATTAAATAATCTTCAATATTATTAATAATGTCTTTTCCATTATCTAAATATTTCTAAATCTATATCTTGATTTCATTTTTTATTGTTCATAAAAACTAAAATTAAGAGAGCATCAAAGTTAATATATGGCATGTTTATAAAGTGTTAAAATAATAAGTGTCTATCTAAACAGTAGACTCTTAGTAGATTCCTCTAGATTTTTCCACAATACAACCTAAATAATTTCAAAATATAAAGAAAAAATTATCGTAGAATACAGATTCATAAGAATTGAATAGTTGTAGCTAGACTACATCAATGTCAGATTAAATATAAAACATTTTCTACATCTATGCATGTGTAATTTTAAATAAATTTATTTAAAAATAGGTAAAATTATGTATTATTCTTCATTTGTCTTTTACTTTTTTATATATTTAGTAATTATGATTAGAATAGTACATAAAATAAATATGTGTTTTTAAAAGACATTTAAAATAAACTACAATATCTAAAGCATTACAAAATATTAGATACTAAATAAATACATTGATTTAATTTACATTAATTTGATTCAATTCAAAAATGTTATAATTACTTTTAACTTAATTTAATAGAATGTAATAATTACTTTCAAGCGATCGGCAGTTTTCAAGAAGGCTGGCAATTGTTCTTGGCTAATATTAACTTCACCAGCATACATGAACTCAAGTATTGATTGTAGGTGACTAAAAGGTACATCTTTAAGTATAATGATTGGATGTTTAGAAGGATTTTCCTATAAACATCATAAAATTATTTATTTAAGTTAAAGAATTACTAACTCAAATTATTAATTAAAAATAATCACAATTTTATTCATTATACAGAGTGAGTCAAGAAAGTATCCCAAATCAAAAAACTTTTGATCCAATTATTTTCTTTAATTTTTGTAAAACAATTTTATGGAATGCAAACAATTTTTATTATATAAATTTAGTACAAAAAAATAAAAAAAGGCAAATTAAATAAAAAAAGTAGAAATAGAATTTATATATATTTTTATAATAAAGCTATATATTTATGTCCAAAGGTAAATTATAAGCGGTATAACCCTTGTTACAAAAATGTTTAATTTATAATTAAAAAATAACGATAATAATAAAGTGCCCGTTTTTTTAATTCAAAAGACATTAAAAATAGAAATTGATATTGTATATTTAAGATATAATATTGAAAGTCATAATTTTTACTGTGTTTGATTACTTTCATAGTTATAATTTGTAAAATTAATCACCTAGATAAAATCATTAATTTTACAATAATTAAAAATATTTTGTTTAGCTTCAAAAAAATTTAATTTGAACTTATTATTTTGAAAGTTGACATAATTTAAGGAAAATATAACACTTTTTTGGGCAATATTCAACATTTATTTACTTTTGCGGCTTTTATCAATGAAAATGTGATTAAGTGTTTTCATATAATAATTAAAGATAATTTTATAAACTTAAGAATAATTCTCCATATGGATTTTTCGTCCTTTTTTTATTATGTAGAATAAACTAGTCGGTGTACATAAACTTATTCATTGCTGATCACCTGCCAAGATAGCAAAGATAGCTAGATTGCTAGCAAAGAATATTAATTTCCTGGATGAATTGTTAATATATTGAAATAGTGGTCACTTTGATATGTACAAGCTATGTATTTTTTAGTTATGCAGAGTATAATATAAAAAAAAGAATGTTAAAAATAAACTTTATAATAAGCATAATAATAAGTTTAATTTATTTATTTTTCAAGTCTTTTAATGTTTGAAAATTTTCTTTATCTATTAAATTTCAGTTTATTATAAAATCTAAGCCACTAAATGTTAAAATCATGATAAACTAATATTACCTCTTCCAAAATTGTAAAACAATTTCATTTTGACTAAAAAATTTAAGATAGTTATTTAAAAATGCACTCTTTTTTATTGACAAAACTTCTAGTTATAATTTAAATTTTTATTGCATGTATATGTCAAAATAAAAAATATTAATAACCTATTATTAATGTATAAATCACATTTCATTGATATTTTAAATTGTTTAAATAATTATTAACAAACCAATGATAAAATATAGTAACTAATTTTGTGTAAATTTTACTTTAATAATATATCGCTTCTAATCTCACAGAAAAAAAGATTCATATGAATATTTGGGTCAAGTGTACTAACAATATTATTTCATTAATCATTAATACGAATATACTTTATTATTAGTTAATAAATAATAATTTTCATTAAGTTTTACATGATATATAACTCTAAAGAAGTTTAATATTTCAGTTTGATGCAACTAATGTCATCAATAATCTTCAAATAACCAGCCTATCTATGTAAAATATATTTATGAAATAAAACTGTAACTGATAATACTGAAGGTAAGTATTTATAGATATGCTAATAGCTATATATATATAAGAGATAATAAATCATTTTTATTAAATTGAAATTTTTTAAAACATTTATCAGAAAAACAATCATTTTTAAATAAATGATGAACCCTACTAACCTTCAAAAAATTTACTAATGACAAAATTAAAAATTTTAAATATTTGTTTACCATATAATTAACTAACATTTTGTTTTCAGCTATATTAAAATAACAAAGGCTACTTTACAGGTACATTATAATAAATACCTCTAATAAGGCTTTAAAGTAAGGACTGCAGGCAGATAACACCATTTTGTGAGCTTTACAAGTTTGACCCTCGCATGCTAATGTAACATCAGTAAAACTTTTTTCGTTTCTTAGATGTTTAAATGATGAAACCATATTACTTTGGTAATCATTCCATTTTAAGAAATATTGTTGTTGATCAGCCATATTAAACTAAAAATGTTAAAACAATATGAAAATAATAAATTGATTTACAAACTATGTTGGTTGAGTACAAATTAAATAATATAAATATAGCTTAAATGGAATAAATTTTAAAATAATCTTTGGTTACCTCTTGTCTTTTCTTCGTTTAAGTTAATTGGTTACTACTGATAACGTCTTAAATTTGTACTATTATAAATGATTCCAGTACTAAAACAAATTCAATAACATCAAATTGAAAAGTAATAGTCTCATACAGCACATGAACTGAAATGCATTAAATATTATGAAATAAATATTATGAGTAATTTAACGTTGTCGACTAAATTTTAGTCATTGGTTTGATCAACATTATAACATAGACAAGTATAATAACAAGTTATAGATAAACAATACGTAAAAAACGTTGACCCGTGTTGTGTGAAATAAACATGAGTGTGAGTACCTGTGTGTTACTTATAAATTGGTAGGCGGCGAAGGGACGACTGGCTGTATGAGAACGAAAAGCAGGTGGTAACGCTGTCAAAGCCGGTTCAAAAATTTATTTGACCCTGTGAAATAATCCTTTTTGATTTTAATAAATTTTTATTTAAATAATTATTAAAATCTATGATAATTCAAGTTTTTATTCATTTTTTTTATATAAGTATAATAAATTAAAAAGAACATTTTAATAAAAATTTTAATTTTAGTTAATTGGTTACACTGAACTGACTAATACCGTACCTTTTTTTCAAACTAATCAGGTTTTGATTATTTTCATTATGTCAATATATAATTTTAGTAAATTGTAAGTTTTTTATGGATTATTAAAGATAGTTATAAAATTAAAAAGGACATGACAATGACTTACAAAATAATATAATTACACGGTACTTTAAAAGCCTTTATGAATAATGAAGAAGTAAACAACCAGTCAAGCAAATTCTTGGTATTAGGACAGTTTCTATAATACTAATATCTGATGGTCAAAATTAATACTCTATCTTTATTAGCTACTCTTGCTGAATGTAATAGAACTATTTAGTAACTTATAAAATTTGTTATTAACCAAATTAAATATTTTATGTTAAATGTAATAAAGTTAGAAAAATAAATGTTATTTTTTTTATTAATTTGATAGTTTATTACAGTCTGTTGTAGCAATAAAAGTAAATTAAATTTGTGAATTTATGGGAAGTAAGTTATTGAGATAAGCTGAAATGGAAATTAATTCAGATATTAAAGAGACTTATCGCTTAAAGGTTGGTACCAGTGGATCAACTAAGGGGGTCCTAGGTCTACTCTCATGGATATAAAATTATAATAATAGAGGGGTGTATCTCCCAAATAATCTGACATTTTAAAAGCTATATGCATGCACCTTTTCCTCATACAAAATTTCTAGATATACTACTAGATACAAAGAATATTTAGAGAGAGTACTCAATTTTTCTTATTCATTTTATTGAAATAAAAAGTACATTATCACTAAAAATTTCAGCTATTTTGTTACTTAATCATATCAATGATTTATGCTTAATTTGAATCTTGGAATAAGTTTTTTCATACCACTCCAAAGAAGATTCTCATAATTTATTTTTTCAATTTAAAATCTCTTGTACAATCTCATTTTTTGCGAAAAAATTTTTTCCCTCATGTCACTTTTAAGAGAAGTGAAATTAAATTAAAGAAGTTAAATTAAGTTAGGAAAATAAGAAGAGTGATTAAAAATACCACTTAAATAGATAAATTTGACTCATAACATTTTCATCTTAAACATTTTTAATCTGTGAAAATATTCCAGTGTTTTTCCTTTTACCTGAAGAAATTGAATAACAGGTATCTCCTATGAAGAGACCTATCACTTGGTGATATTTTTTAGCAACATCATTTATAAAAATAGATGCAACAAAATTAATTTTTCTTTTTAAAATAATAATGAGAAATATTGAATAGTAACTATTGAAATATTTAATCTAGTATTATAGTATATTCAATATTTAAACTTTTAAATAGTTTATACTAAAAATAAACTATTTGATAGCATGACATATTCAAAAATGCCAATCACTACTACTAAAAATTGAGTCTATGTTCATTATGTCCAGAACTTCTACTATTCAGTATATCCATCATTGAAAATAACCTTACAGACTAGGACAGTAGTAGTACTATTAATTTCTGAATAGACTTGAACAATTCTCTTAAACAGTAGAATTTAATAACATATCTGTATATTCTAACAGTAGAACAAATTTACAATTCTATAATATTAATATTAATCAGCTTAGAAGTGGAAATAAAGCTACAGTATTTATTCTTATTAAGATTTTGTAAAAAAATGATTCTGTACTTAACAAACAAAGCATGTCCAAAACCAGATTGCCAAAAAAAGTAATTGACAGAACTTATATTGTAAAATATGTAATAATAAATTAGAAAATTTTAAATATAGATTACTTCAGCATCAGTACAGTTTTGTGACTAGAAACTTAACTAGATTGAACTATAATAACGTAACTAGACTAAAAGTATTAGGAATAAAGCCAGTGGATTAAAAAACTGCTTCATTTAAATGAATAGTTGATATTAAGATTTAGTAGAATAAATACTTTTTTTCTTTTATAAAAATAAAAACAAATCAATTAAGGTTATTTATTTTTTATTTATAAAGAGAAATAAAAACATATTTTATTTTTCAGTATCAAAGCTTGTATATAATATTAAATATCTTAGAGCTCTTATTTACTTAAATGCTTTTTAGCAGACTTAAAGGTTTATTTATAAATTGTGTAAATAAAAACATGGGTGTGTATTAAATGTAGCAATTGTTAATTTAATTTTTAATACTAAAAACCATGCCAACAAATTGTTCATAATGCATTGTAACTACACCATCTTGATCAGTATCAAATTGGCGAAATGCTGCAGTTAAATTCTAAAATTAAAAAAAATTGTTAATAAATTGAAGGTTGATTTTTATTTGTATTATTATTTTATAGAAAAAATTCACAATTTTTGTATAGCTAAAGAAGGAAATAGGTTTTTTAATACTCCATTATTTCAAGAAATTGACGATTTTTTATTCAGAAAATGTTTATAATATAGAGTGATGAAGAAATCATGATTGATCCGTACCCGGATTAATACAGATTGAAAAACTACACCCAATCTGAATTATGTAACCAATCTATCAATTTGAAAAAAAAAATCATTTTATAATATGAAATAAATATTAATTATTTAACATCTATACTTAAAACAAAAAAATTATTTTTTTATTTAAAATAATATTATCCACAAGTGACTAATTCTTATTATATCAACATCTGTAATTAATATTAAATTTATTTTATATTGTATACTTTATATAGTGTGAATAGTTTTGACAGATTTAATTAACAACCTGTAATTTGTATTCATATTCAAATTGAAGGATATAATCCAAATAAAAGAATTCAATTTGTAAGTCGGATTCACTAAAATTGTGTTCAACTCTAATATTAACCTAAAGGTTTTAAAAAGGGTTTTATTACATTAAGCATTATGCAACATTGAATGAAATCATCAAATAATACAGTTCCTCGACCCATTCTATCAAATTTCTGCATCATAGTACTGACAGTAGTTTCAGATAAGTTGTAACCAAAATTTTGCAATGCTAATCGTAATTCATTTTTATCAATGTTTCCAGAATTATCTCTATCAAAAGAACGGAAACAGTTTTGCCAATCAGTCACATACTTCCAAAGAGCACCAAAATCATCAAAATTAATGGTACCTTTTCCTGATTTGTCAAACATACCTAAAAAAATTGAATGAAAAATAATTATTTACATCTTACGATACTATGTCTTACAATCCTAACATCTAATTAAAAACTATAGAGGTCTTCCAAGATATTCTTGTTAACTACTAGTATAATCATCTAGGTATTATTTTTAGGTGGTCCTTAAAACCCAATCATTCTAACACTACCTTTCTAATTTTTTTTAAAGATAATAAAACTGTGTAGTATAAAATTTGAGATCAATATGATAATGTTAGTCTGGCCTTAAAAGTAAAGTAAATTTTTTTTCTCTAAATTTTATTATTAGTTTAATACTTAACTTATAAATGGTCACTCAACCCAAAAATATAAAACATGGAGATTTAAAAAATGTCACTTCTATAATATTTGAACTACTATAGTTAAAACAATTATATTTTATTATTATATTATAATAATATGTGCAAATCTTTAAATTTCGAAAAGAACCCTTTTTTCTCTTAATATTTTTTTAGTATACTAATGTGTATGTTATATATATATATATCTAAATTGCAAATTCTTATAAATATTTTGACGCTGATGATAATGAATTAATTACTTTATATATATATATTATAATAATAGTTATACTATAAATCAACATAAGATATTACATACTCATCATTAATCTAATAGTTTCAGGGTTAAAAGGACTCCAGGTACCATTTGAAAGAGCTAACTGTAACTCATTAGAATTAATAGATCCACTTCTATCTTTATCTAACCTAAAGTAAAGTACAAATGTATTTGAAAAATATGATAAATTCGTTTTAAAAAAAATGTGAAATGCAGTGGCAAAACCAGAAAATAATTTCAGTGGGGTTTTACCTTTTTTTTTATATTAAACAATGATGAAGAGTATATGAGAAAATAGTAATAGTTCATTTTTTCAATTTTGATTTTATGTTTTAATTTGATAGCTCATTATCAGTAGTATCAAGTAATGAACTACATTAGGTAAAAAATATTTTATTTTACAATTAGAAAGATAGAGTTATACATTAACTTTGTTTTTGCTCTCTTAAAAAATGCACAAAAATTAACTACTTTTTTCTCTATATCCTTAAAGTAATAAAAATTATTAAATCTAAACTAAATAAAATAAGGTAAAATATGTAGCATTACAACTAAGTAATGAAGTCTTAAATGTCTTAAATATGGTTAATTTATGCTTAATTAAATCACTTTTCAAAAAATAATAGTACTATTTTATTTACAAACCTTTGAAATACATCCCACAAAAACTCTCTTGAAGGCATTTGTCCTTGGAATTGGGCCATAATTTTAAATATTGTACAATGTAAACAGTTAAATGCTAAACTAATATCAAACTATTAACATAAATAAATAGTACAATTTTAAAAAGGAAATAGTTTACTATTGACAATGTTATTACCTGTATACAAAAATTAAAATGAACCCTTACTTTTTAATAATATTAAATATAGTTAAAATAATATCTCAAAAGTTTCAAACACCAAATTGAATCACCTAACGAATGAAAAAATTATTTTGTATCAAAATAAATTGGTTATATTTATCAAAAATTATATGAAGAATTATCTCAGATCACATAATGATAACTCCAACGACTCATTATAATTATCATTGTTTTCAAGCTTAAATGATGTATTTTAAACTCAATGTTGAATAAATATTAACTCACTAATATAACGCATGCGTTATGATTGATAATATATTACACTAATGATACTGGGAAGTTCTATTTGGTGTTAACTGTTTTAGAAGTTTGGTGTATAATTCATAGTCGGCAGAGGGAAGTCAGAAATCAACAAGTATGTGACAGTAGTGGGAAATTTTTGTGAAATTGTCGTCACAAAAGTGAGGTAACAGATTACTTTAAGATAATATTATCTCTCATATTGTTCGCCATTTCCCATAATTTGGTTCCAATATCCATTAGTAGGTCACTGGGTCACTAACTATAATTGCTTAGGGTTGTGAAAAATGAGTTATAATAATAAGTGTTTACATTGGTTATGTTTTTGTGTTTATAATAAAGACTGGACCAGAGATTATTCATCCATAGACAGTAATTCCAGTTATTGGAGCAGCATTATGACAAGTAAATCAAATTCTCTTGCTGATTATGGTACTTGCAAAAATTGTCCTACACTAGAAGTATCTACCAATGAAAATAGTCACAAGACAGATGCAATGGTTTCACAAGCAGAAATATGGCAGGAAGATAAAAAGTTCACTGTAATCTTTCTTTATTTTTAATTTATAGTCGAGAATTTTTATTAAAAAAATAAATATTTAATAGGTCTATAAAGTTGTAATTTGGTCACAAAATGAGTCTTGGCATGTTTTTCGTCGTTATAACGAATTCTATAAGTTGAATGAAGCTCTAAAAAAACAAGTAATTAAGCCATATACATTAAAAATATAAATTTAATTTAGAACTTATATTTGTTAAAAGCTTCATCTTAATAAAAAGCATTAGTTAACCTTATTAATGTAATAAAATCATAACTATGCCTAAAGTTTTATTTATAATGGTGAACCATTGTAAAAAAAAAGGATAAATCTAACAAATTCATGTTTGTAACATATTTTAATAGGTACCAGATTTTAATATAAAAATACCAGGGAAGAAATTGTTCTGTAATAACTTGGATCCTTCATTTATTGCTACACGTAGAGAAGGTCTTGATCAATTTGTCCATCATCTTATGCATCAAAACAATTTATTAAATATGTAAGCAATCATTAATTAAATTAACCATATGAGTATACAATATATATATATATATATATATATATATNTCATATGTAATATCAAAATACACCTTTGTATTTATTAATAATATATATATATATATATATATATATATATATATAGATTTTCTTGACCCTAAAGTTTTTAATTATAAAATTGTATTTTTCTAGTACTGAAGTTCGAAAATTTTTTAACTTAGATAGTAAAGTTAAAGAACCAGATAGACCAAATAATTTTAAATGTACTGGAACCATTAATCTAGGTCCATCTGAAAGACCTTCGTAAGTTTCTTTATATTAAATTTCTTGAGAAAAATTACAAAAAAAAATTTATACGTTTCTATTATAGAAAACCAGTAATAATTAAATTTACTATTAATTATTTTTAGTGCGAATCCATCTGATTTTGTATTTCTTCGAATTATTGGTAAAGGCAGTTTTGGCAAAGTATATTTAGCTGAGCACAAAAATGAATCTTCTCATTATGCTGTGAAAGTATTAGATAAAAATCATATTCTTGCAAGAAATGAAGTTAAACACATAATGTGTGAACGCAATGTACTTTTAAAAAACATCAATCATCCATTCTTAGTTGGGTTACATTACAGTTTTCAAACAAAGGACAAACTTTACTTTGTGTTAGATTTTATAAATGGCGGAGAGGTATTACTAATATATTAAAATTAAAATAAATAAATTTCTTAGTACATTTTTTTTTTTTAGCTTTTTTATCATCTACAAAAAGAAGTTAGATTTTCTGAATCGAGAGCTAAATTCTATGCTGCAGAAATAGCATCTGCACTTGGATATCTTCATTCTAATGGTATTATTTACAGAGATCTCAAACCAGAAAATTTGTTGCTTGATCAAGAAGGCCATTTAGTACTTACTGATTTTGGATTTTGTAAAGAAGGACTAGTAGGCACAGAAACTACTAACACATTTTGTGGAACACCTGAATATTTGGCTCCAGAAATTATTAGAAAAGAAGTAAAATTTGCTATTTTAAAAAATGATTTTAAAGAAAAAATTTAATTAAAAATTTTTTTTAGGCCTATGGTAGATCTGTAGATTGGTGGTGTCTTGGAGCAGTTCTATATGAAATGTTATTTGGCCTTCCACCATTTTATAGCCTAAATGTTCAGGAAATGTACAATTTAGTTTTGTATAGTAGGTTGAAAATTAAAGGACCAGTCTCTTCTCAGTGTAAAAGTTTTTTACAAAAGGTCAATATATTAAAGAAAGAAATTTATACTTTTAGAAGGTTCTACATTAGAATTTGGTTTTAGAATATACCAAGGATAATGCTAATCAGTGTTTTAGTTTTTAACATTTTGTTTTGTAATCTATATTAATGGATTATTAAAATCAGAGCATCGTTTGAGGATGAACGCTTGATCATCTTCTAAATGTGAGGCCTTTGCCTCAGTTTAAATTTTTTTTAAAGCTGGGGTAGGTTTACTCTTACTAAATGGGTCATATTTACATAAGAAATTCAGTGAAAATGAACTCAAGGAAAAAGACACCTAATATTACATATATAATTATTTAAAATACAATTATAAACTAAATTTTTACAATCTCTCTTACTACTTAAAATTGTAATTCAAACAGATCAAGGCTCAAAATAAAAGAAAATGATTTCTGATTATTTTGATTGTTGTTTACAGCTTAATTTATAAAATAATATCCTAAAATGATATACCTTTAATTTCAAAACCTACAAATGTAGGCTTAGATTAAATATCCTGTGAATTATATCTAACAACTAAAGTTAACATAATTTTTACTGAAATATCTTACATAGTTAATACATATTTAACTTTTATTATAGTTCTAAAAGTCTTCTTATAGATAAAATAAATAAATAATTTTTATTTATGGATGGCTTAATTATTTAAGAAATAGTTCTGTTTTGAAATTTTTTTATATAAAGTGTAATATTAGATGTGAGTTATTAGAGTAAGAGGATCATGAGTAAAACTGCTTATAAATTTGTGCTGGTAAAAAATTTGTTCCATTCTAGTAAAATCTAAAATTATGTCTTTAATTATAACCTATGATACCTTTTCCTAAGTGTCTCTTAAAATAATATAAACTATTTTTACACTTCTCTTTAAATAACAAACATTTAAATCAGCCAATTTTTTTGCCATGTAGCTTTATAAACATTTTTGTTTACATTTTTCTTTTTTGAATAATGAAAAACAAAGGATAATTTTAAAATATTAAATATTTATCATGAAATAACGTTTCTGTAGCATCTTCATTATTTATTTATCAGTAAGATAAGCATAAAGATAAGTTCATATATTTTTCTTGCAGTTACTAGAAAAACAAAGTAACAAAAGACTTGGTAGTACCTCTCAAGATTTTAGTGAAGTTAAAAAACATCCATTCTTTAAATCAATTGATTGGGAAGATCTTTTAAATAAACGTATAATTCCACCTTTTCAGCCACAATTGGTAAGATTCTTTTTTAAATTTATATAATTAATCTCAAATAATTAGGCATGCACACAATTTTATTTATCAAAAAATGCTTTATGTTAAGTCTGCAATAATAATTTTGGATAGTGAACTAAAGAGTTATATCAAAATTTTTATTGAGATCTAAAAATTATCTTTTTTTATAGCTTTTATTATATAAATAAAATTTATCATATTAATAGTTTTAATTTCTAATTCTATGGACCCCAACTTTATTTTTTTAGTGGTATTATATTTTGAACTAGATTCAGTTGCAGTGCAATGTTTTAAAAGTAGGAAGCTCCTATATTTGACATATTTTTCAAAATCTTTAACTTGATATTGCTAGTTAAAGAAATAAGGACAGAAAATTTTGGGAAATATATTACAGTCTTAAATTTAAATTAAAACTAAAATTATGAATTAATTTCAGAAAGTGGTGTTGCCCTTACTTCAGTAACTACCTATTTCGCAATAAACATAATTAAGAACTTTTTTAGGAATCTAGTATGATCCTTTATAAGCTGTAAAAGCAACAAATATATGTTTTGACTTAACAAGGAATACCTACTTTTCTTATAATGAAACATTTAAAATAACATGCATACTTGATTGATCACGACCCACATAATTAAACAAAAAGTAAAAATTATATAGGTAATATTTTTATTAGTTTCTTTTAGTTCCATGTTTTTCTAAGTTTATCAATCATCAAGTATTTTTTTATATTCATTCTTTATATTTTGTAAGGGTGTCAACTAATTTTTTTAAATGTCAACACAAATAAGTAACTAGCTTAATTAGATAATTAACTATTATTCCCTGTAGAAGGAGACAAGAATTCTTCCACAATCTTTCTGCCAATTATAAAAGGTGACTAATGTAGTTGTATCAAGTCAACAGCTAGTGTAAAATTTTGTCAAAAAGTATGAGGCGTCCTGAATAGAACTTGTTCCAACTCAGATGTACGTGGGGATAACAATTAAGAGAAAATAAATAAATTAGAAATTGAGAAGAATAAAATGTTTGACACCTGATAGACAACTTGTGTTTGTAACTTTTATCTGTTTCACCTGTTAAGTGTACAGGCCTACCCAATGGTTGTAGTGTCAACAGTGTAGGGACATCATCACTCAACTCTAAGCTGGACTCTTGTATAGTTGATGTTTGTTAAAGAATGCCTTTAACAAAGTCCTAGTGAACCAGCTATCATAAACACTTTTGATTATATTATACTGTGTGACAGCTGATCTCCAGCGTCATTTATTTTCTCACCTCCTTGCCAACCCAGCACAGCAAATGGATGGCATACGTGTCAATTGTCATCCGATTAGATTATTAACTATTAAATAAGCTAGTTAGTTATGTATATTGCCGTTTGAAATATTTAAGTTGACACCCTTACACGGTATAAATTGAAAGAAACATTAAACTAAAAGAAAAAAATATATTAATATTATTTTTCGATTAATTAAGTGGATGATGATAAATGAATCACTCTGTAATTAATATATTTTATTATAGAACGGAAAGTGTGATTTACAATATATTGATCCTCAGTTTACCAAAGAATCTTTAAGTTCTTCCATGTTGTCTTTCTGTGATGAGACCATAGAAGCTAATATTCAAGATGCTGATAATGTTTTTGCTGGTTTCTCTTATACTCCTCCTTCTAGCTTAGAATAATATAAACATGGCTGATTAAAATAAAATACAACTGTTGTTCCTATTGAAGTGTTAGTATTTTTTTTTATTATTGTTAAAACTTTTTTAAGATTTTGTTTTTATTATTTGCTGTGATCAAAACATTGCATAGGAATTACATTTTAATTAAAAAACAAAGAGATAATAGACAATACTACTTAAATACTTCTAATTTTAATGTTATATATCATTGTGTTCTATTCTGATATTTTTCAATAAACAAGGTTGAGTTTTCTGTAAAATTGTCAATTAGAGAGAAAATCAATTATTAATACTATTTATTATAAAAATAAATTGTTTTTAGTCAAGCTCATTCGTTTGATTTCAGTTTAAATACCTATGTGTACTGAAAAAAAGTTTAGACTTGAATATTTTAACAATGTGTTCTATTTCATAATTGTTTTATTTTGGACAATCACATTTTATTTTTAATACTTTATTTAGTCATAACATTTTGTGATTTTATTATTTTAGTTATTTTTTTATGTTTTAACTATAAATATCCTTATAATTAAATCCATACATTAATTTACTTGTTTGTTGTCTCAAACCCATCACCAATTGTATAAATTATAAACAACTATAATAGTTCCATAAATTGACATTATTTAATCATTTTTGTTAATGATTTAAGTGATTATAGCTAAATGACACTGCCAAAGTTTTTTTATTTTTTATTTTTTTATTTTTATGCTGTATTTGGTATTTTTGAATGGAAATATGTAAACTCTTGTGATAATAAAGAAAATACTTTAAATTAAATCAAAATAAATTTATTCTAATTCCTAAATAATCCTTTAATTAATTATTGAGATAAATATCTTATATAAGTATAATTCAGTAATTTATCTGTTATATTTTTTATTGTTAATAATAATAATAATTCAGTCTTGTTTTGTTGTTTAATTTAACATTATAATGGTTATTGTTGATTTTGAATTATTAGTATTAAAGAATATGTTGCCTACCTAATAATGAGAATAACATGTGATTTTTATTTTTTCTATAAATTTTATTTCATGTGAAATACATTGTTTATTACATAGTAAAATTATTGTTATTTTATTTTAAAAATATACTAAACTATATAATATTTATTATGTGTAGATTGAGAGTAACTATTTTGTTAGAAAATTAATATAATTCTACAGTATGCAAATGTATCAAATCATAGTAATATGAGTGGGTTTATAGAAGGAATTTTAAATTTTTCTATAGAAATTGGGAATATTTCAAAATAACCCTCAGAAGGGGCTATAAAAATAAAAATAAATCACACTCATCAAAGTATTTCCTGCAAAATTCTCATATAATTTGAGAAATCGCTTGATTTTTCCAAAAATATTGTTTCATCTCACTCTTTAAAGATAATTTAATGAATAGTTAAATTTTTTTCCTAATGCTTTTCACTAGTGAAAACCACGAAAAAACAATTGAATAATTGTGATAAGAAAATTTAAATTAATCAAATTGTGAAATATTCAATAGTTCTAATAGAATATTTTTTATCTATTATTTGTTTGAACTATTTTAGTTTTATTAATGCTAATAAAAACTGTTAGAATACAAATTCAATATTTTTTATAAAATGATCGAATACATAAATTTGTAAATGTTCATCACTGTTAAATACAATTAATATTAATTTTTTTTTTAAGAAGCATTTATTACATACCAAATTATCTAATTTTATTTTTTGATAATTTAATTAAATTTTATTAGTTAACTATCTCTTCCAAGGCTTAAAATATGGTTCAGTAGGGCACTAAGTTTGGAGTACGAAATGTAAAACATGCTGTTGATACTAATTTTAGGTATAACCATTAAAATATATTTTTATCACCTCTTTTCCTGTTTAATGATTCAAACAAACAAAACATTTAGAGTCATTTGCAATTTTATTATTGTGACACTCAGGAACAGTTCATGATAATTTAACTATTGAATATTATATATGTGGACACCTTGACTAGCATTTGGCTTAAGTGTCTTACTATCCAAATTAAGAATTAATTTATATGCTACTAGGAAAAATAATCAATTTGTTATGTGACAATTATTTACTTATATATTAAAAAAAAATTAATAATCAGTTTATGGGTTCAACATTTAAATATATATATATTTTTTAAGTATCATTCATTTTTTTAATCTATTTACATAAAATTCTAAGTAATCAATTACTGTGCTCTCCTAGTGTAATTTTAGATTTATTATTTTTATAAATCAATAAAAATTATTTAAGAAAGATTCAATACGACCATCAAAATTATAATCACGTGTTTAATAATAAATTCAACTTCTAAAAAATATCACATGTAAATTTTATAGATTTATTAAAAACATTTGCTAAAGATAAGATAGACATTAAGTGACAATTTATTGAAAGTGTACAAAATTATAGTCAATTAAAAACAAAACACACAGGCAGTCTTGTTGTTAGATTACATATTCAGGATGAAATTATTCACAAAAATTTAACATAATTTATTATTAATAGTAACATTTTCAAAGTATAAAAGAATAACAAGAATGTTAGAAGGATTTAATGTAAAAACTAATACTTATACAAAAACAATAAAAAAATTTCTCTAGGTTAAGTAGATTATAAATAATAAAAATTATAAAAAAAAATGAATTAACAAAACAAATGAATTTATTTAAAAAACAATAATTGCCATAAATAAAGAATAATTATTATATTATAACACATTCAAATGGGTTTAAATTTACAGGCATCAACTAAAAAACGATAACTGTATTTTACATACCTATAATAGTCTTAAAATAAAAATTAGGGGTAAATAAAAAAAATATTAAATTTAATAAAATTCTGAGTTAACATTTACAAAACAACATAAATTAGTAAAATTAAACAGAGTTTTGTAGAAAAAAATTGTTTTGAAATATATTATATGCAAATAATTTGTATAAAAAGGCAAATTGAAATTAATTTTTAATCAATTTAATAAAATTTTAGTAATAATATTTAAACATTTTAGTTCATTTTTTGATGCCATGAACTTCATATAATAATAATAATTATTTTTAATGAAAACTCATATATTATAGTGCAATTAAAATAATAAACAAGTGATAAAATATTGCACTAATAAAGAAACAATAACATAATTAGAAAAATGTAAGAAGCACCATAATGTGACAACAGTTAAATTTAAAAATGGAATAATATCAGTTTTAAATATTCTTGTGAAGTATGGTGGATATATTACCATATATTTACTAATACTGCAAATAATTTACAGTAAAATATTTACACTCGGTGGGAGAATTATTTCTAAAAAACTGTTAAACGGCTGATAAATACATAAATTGCACTTACAAAAAAAAGTAAAACATTATGAATCTATATGATTAAAATTACAAATTTGGAAAAACGATATGTAGTATTTTTTTATTTATTATTTTATAAAACTATTTTTTCATAGTCAATTATATAATGTATTTTAAATAAATTATTATTTAATTCTTAATCTTTAAGTTCAAAATTAAACTTGATGTTAAAAACAATCCATAATTTTAAATTAAATTATGTTAGTCAATTACTATATAAGCAATCATTCAATATAAACATCTATCGAATACATTTGGAAAAAACAAATGAACTTTTTAAATCAATTCACCAATAAAATTCCCACAATTTTATTACTTAAATGTTATCTATCAATTAATTATTACCAATATAGATAAAGTTACCGACTTTTTTTTTTCACTTGTTTAGCTAATTTTCTTCGTTTAATAATCATATCATATAATACATCTAAACCTTCTTGAAGTCCATCACCAGTAATGGCACAAGCTGCTTGGATATGCCACAGATGATTAAGCTCATTTAAACCTAATAATCGTTCTAATTCAGCCGAGTCCCTTGCTGCAGGCAAATCCTGTTTGTTAGCCAATACTAAGATAGGAACACCTGTATTTTCTGGAGCTTTTGCCGTTCGAGCAAGTTCCATTTTAGCTTCTTCCATTCTTTCTACATCAACACTATCCACAACAAATAGTATTCCATCAGTACACCTAAACATAATTATTCAAGCTTAAATATACTTGAATCAAATAATGACAAAATAATACAATTGCATATTATTTTTATTATAGAACATCAATATTCTTTTGAAAAACATAAGTTTAAGTTATCATTATTACAGGTAAAATTTAGCACTAAGAGAGTTAAAGTTTCTCCTAGGAATTTTAACTAAAATAATATTATTGTAAAAAAAATTATAACAGCTTACTACATCTATTTATTTTGTTTGCATTTATATAATTATATTACAACTTACCTTGTGTAACTTTTCCAAAGTGGTCTTAATTTTTCTTGACCACCTACATCCCATACTAAAAATGTTTGTCCTCTTGCTTTTCCAACAGTTCCTTTAACTTTTTCACAGTTAAAACCAATTGTAGGAACTGTATTTAAATATTGATTAAATTTAAGTCTATAAAGAGCAGTAGTTTTACCAGCACTATCTAAGCCTAACATGACTACATGCAAATGACTCTGTGGTGTGGGAAGTGCATCCAATAAAGATGCTGAGCTTTTCCCCATGTTCGCTCCCATGGCTTTGACTCAAACACATAACAGTCTGCAATTAAATAAAAAAAATTTAGTTCTTTTTTCAAAACTTTAAAATTTAAGTTTTTGAAGTTTAGTCTGTAAATAAAATAAATATCAATTGAATATTTAGAAGAAACAAAATTAAATAGGAATGATAATATTAAATTTAAATAGAATATAATTGTTGATTCATTGAATCATGTCAAACTAATTTTTCCACACAAAAAATTAGAAAAATGTTGGAGGTCAACATTTTTTTCTTGATTTCTCATTATTTATTTATAAGAAAATTAATGAAAACTTATGACATCCATAGACTTCATTCACACTGCGGCATTCATATAATTCTAATTAAAGTCATAAGTTAACTCGTTATATAACTTGTTTTATAATAATGGAATAGATCAAGTTTTATCAAAAAAACTAAGTTAAAGAAGAAATTAAAATAAATTTACTGTACCAAATTGTTTAGGTACAATTATAACAGGTAGTCAGTAATTAAATTTAATAAGCCAATTAGAAGTTTTAAAAATAATTTCACCAACAAAAATGTTCTTATTTATAATAACTCTTCAATAAAGATTAATGAAGATTAATTCTTTATTAAATACAAATTTGTTATTTGTATTTATTTATTTAATTTATCAACACATTTTTTTTTTTTTATGTTTCGTTATCATAGATACAAACTAAGGGAGCTTGGAAGAGTTTAGACTGTCAAATTTTAAATTCAACCCCATTAAAATTACAGAAAAACTAAATACATAATTGTATAACAAAATTTTTATAAATAAATAAATATTATTAGTCACTCTACATTTTTTTTTGAAATTGCATAATGCTCGCTATATATTTAAAATATTCTATTAAAAGCTATGGTTTGTGTTATAGTGTATCGAAAAACCTACAAAACTAAGTGCAACAGAATCAAACTCATCATCTACTCTGTAAATGGCATCACACAATCCCACATAAATTATGATGGAGACTTACATACCCATTCTTTATTATTGAACAATTTAAACTATAGATGTAGTTCAAGATAAATAAATTATTAAAAAATCAATAGTAAAACAATCAGTAACACATTTAATGTAAAATAAAAAATAAATATATTTTAATTTATTAAAATTTGAATAAATAATTTTCATCATTTTTGTTATAAATCACTGTTTAATAAAAATATTGTTATAGCACCATGAAAAATATGTGTAAGACATTTTTTAATACATTTGTTTATTTGAATATAAAATATACTAATATTGTATTAGTATATTAGTGTATAATAAACAAATAAGAGTAATTTTTCTTATAATTCAAGATAATTAGGATATGATATAATAAAATAATACAAACCTATCAAAAGTAATATACTTACAAACCTAAAAGCATAAGTTAGTATTTTATTATCAATTAAGTAGTCCATTAATAACAAATCAGTTTGATATATCAGAATTAACAAAATAATGAAAATATGTAAATATGTAATATTTATTCTATAACAGATACTTATGAAAAATCATTATTGAAATATTGGCCCATAATATAAAACCTCTTTTATGTCATTTATAATAATTTTTTTTCACTTATTCTTACTTAAAAATATATCTTAAGCCTTTTTAAATGTCATATAACTCATTAAAGTAACTTTTTTAACCACTTTACGTGGAAAATTTTCGACTAAAAAAATTTGTTTTAAAATTTCAAAAAAAATAAAATATACAACATTCATTAAATAATGTATTATTTTTACCTGAATTAAAATAAGTGTGTATCCTATGTGTGTATATCCATAACGTTTCCAGCGGCCACCGCCGCTGTTATTACATTGAACATTTACAAAATTATTGGAAACAACGTCGAAAAGTTGTATCCTGAATAGATATCAATCGTTAAGTAGAACAAATACGAAACTGACAAAATTGACACTCACAAAATATAACAAATTAATAAAACGCAAAACATCATTGAATTAATAATAGTATCTATCAGCATAAACAAATAACAGCAAAACGCTATCCAAAATAATTGATTTCCTAATTAAAATTAAACGCCTCGCATCGTCATCAAAACCGACTGTGCTGCACACAACATTCACGTCCCGCAGGCATCTATGTCGAAATTTATTTTTTTTATCCGATAAATATACACAATACTGGTTAATCAGCTGATTTTCATATACAAAATATGTATAACCAAGTATCAGTAGTCGTTACCACGTTGTATTGACCTATAATCGTAGATAATAAAAGTACTCTTATTATCTTTTTATGTCCATAATACTAAAATATTATTTTAAAACAGTGTTGCCTTCATATAAACTTCAAAAATGATAAAACCATACAGTTTAATAATTGTTAATAGTAAGAGATAACCAATCCTAAAATATAGAGGCATGAATCTTATGTTCTTTAAAATATAGCAATATTAAACACTTCTAAGATTATTTATTTTTTATTTTTCATTTCTATAGCTGCAATATTGTATCAAAATTTTTAAAATGATAGGTTTATCGTCATTAATGAAGCGGGTTATGTTGTTTCCGTGTAATCGATCCTTTATTAAATTTCAAACTAATATATTGAGCAATCGTAAGTTTTTAAAATAAACTAATTAAGTACGTTAATAGTTTACTAAATTGTTATTTAATTATTTTTTAGAATCGGTCGTTGCAAAAACATGCATTAAATGTAATAGTAGTTACTTAACATCAATTTCAAAATTTATAAAATACCAATCATGTAGTTTTCAACAAATAAGATGCGAAAGTTTTTTTAAAAAACGTAAGTTATACAAAACGTAATTTTGTAATTGAAAAATATTATGTTATGAGTAAATTTACTCATATTTATTTAATTTTTTATAATTACATATTATTTGACTAATGTTGGGCATTAAAATGTAAACAGTAAAATTATTTTATCAATAATATTATTTGAAATATTATTAGAATACTGTAAAGAAACTTCTTCTTTTTCTTCCTTGCTTTATCCCCAACTACTTGTGGTCGACCACCCTTATCCTAAACTTTTACTTGATCAATCTCCCACACCATCTATGCTCACATCATCTGTCCTCATATCGCATTCAATAACATCTCTTTTTTGGTCTTCCTCTACCTCTTCTTCCTTCAACATTCATTGCTACAACTGTTTCTATGGCTTCTGATTCTTCTTTCCTCATAATATGACTAAACCAATCCACGATAGACGCTACACCTATACTTCCTCTTATATGCTCGTTCCTTATTCTAAATTATCTAGTCACTCCACTCATTCATCTAAGCATTCTCATCTCTGCTATACTGTAAAGAAATATCTACATAAACTAATTATAATATAAAATAATGTTTAACGGATGATGAGGGTGAATGGGATTGATAAGAATAATTTAGATACTGATCCAACTCATCTTTGTGATCCATTACATATCATCATGATACTACACTGTTTTATTTACTGATAGAAGAATTTCTTACAAGATTTAATAAATAAATAAATTCATATTTTTTTTGCCTTGATAAGATTACTCTAGAAAATCTCAGATAATTGAAAATAATAATCTTTGCTACAATTTAACTTCAATTAATCTCAATTGATTTAGTGTTCTGAATATTTCCAGAAGCACTATTAAAATATAAACTTTTTAAATTTTTCTGTTATAAATTTGTGTCTTTTTTTAGATACTGCTGAGCATATTTGGAAAAGTGTAACAAGTGTAAGTAATGCTGGTAAAAAAAGGGGTCGTGGAAAAGGTGCTGGTAAAAAAAGGTCAAAAAATCTTAATAAAGGACAAATTATTGGTGTTGGTTAGTATTATATTGTAATAATATTTCATGTAATTTTATTATTTTGGCTTAAATGTACTTTATCACCCCATCAAGTTTTTTAATTTTTTTCGTATCTGTTAAGGATATTAAAAAAATTGTTGGCAATGCATAGTTTAAAAGTGATGAACTTTAAAAGTTCCTACAAGAGTGCACATGTATTATCTCTTAACTGTAAATTAGACACAAACATTGTTGAGTTTAACCATACATACCAAAAAACTTTTAAATTTGATTTTACATATTTTTAAAAGTGATTTTTGTCAAAGACCCTCTATTTTGTTTTAGTACAGTTTTAGGGTTTTTAAAATTCAACGAATGGTTAACTTTAGAATGTTGATAATCCTTATCTTCTAAGCAATCATAAGCCTTAAATATTTCTTGTTATTATAGCTAAAATATAACTTATAGTTTGTCATTTTTTTTTGACGCCTTATTTACCAACAATCTGATATTTGTAGTCTATAGAATTTATTTTCTAATCAACCTCAACAATGAATTTTCTCACTGAATTATGAACACTAGAAAACGTTGAAGCCAACCAAAATCCACACACTGGCTTTCAACTGCATGACCCAGATGATATTTTCTTTTCCAAATAACCTTTTTATTAAATGACTTCTAGGCACATAAATATCTAATTTTCTATTTAAATTAATTTTTACAAAGTTAAAGTTCCATTTTGATAAATAATAGTCATTTAGTGTTAAACTATACTTTAGATGTTAATAAATAAAGTGTGATACCATGTATGTATTTTACACAATACCTATAATTTAATCATTTTTATCAACTGGTAAGTCATAAATTGTTCATGTAATACTGAAAAAAAATGTTATATTTTTTATTATTATTAAAGTATGTGAATGTTATTATTGCACAGATAATCTTTTGGATTGTTGTAATCCAACAATTAAACTTAATCTAGGGCTGAATCACAACACAGCTGTGTGAGTTATAAAAGTGATATGAGCCACCCTGAAGTAATGCATAATGGTAGTTCCAGGGAAATTTACATATTTTTCTGGAGCTTTGTGAACGTAAACCCTCATTCCTAGATTTTTCTTTGTCAATTTGGTTACTGAAGCTAACAGATGTAATTGATTACTTAATTTTTTGTGAAAAATCCAAAAATAAATATTAGGTATTTAGGTTTATTTTTTTGTCAATTTAAAAAAATTTTAACTTTTCAAACAATTTCATTAAATTTTTTTAATCATTTTTGATATAAGCATTGAAAAACCAATTACGGATCCAGAAATTTTCCAAAGGGGGCACAAAATTTATACATTTATGACCTTTTATATGAAGACTATTTTTTTTTCTTGTTAACTATGTTGATAAGCATTTTTTTAGAAAAAACGTAGTATACAAACTAGGAAGAACAAATTAAATTACTAATACACATTTTAAGTGTAATATCAATTTTATTTTACATTTATAAATATAGTAACACATAGAAATACATCTATATATTTAATATTATATGAATAATATGATTTGAAATAAAAATCATAAAATTAGTCAACATTTTTTTTATCTTTGTATAAAGATATACATTTCAAAATAATATACAGACAAAAAATTTAATATGAATATAATAAAAACAGCATCAAATTTTAAAATAACTCGTCTTCTAAGTTTTTACTGTATTTAAAAGAAATATCAAATGTTTTCTTTCATGGCAATCGTAAAATAAAATTAAGCTTCTTTTTTTTTTATTATTAACCTATTTATCTATAATGTTTATAATATTTTTGTAAATATTCATATCTTAATGAATTTTTGATTTTTTAGCTTTGCTACCATGGTTATAATATATATATATAACTAATAACAAATGATAATTATTGGAAATATTTTCTAACCTGATTAAAATGCTCCGTATTTTGAATAATTCTTATAAGATTAGATGAAATCACTAGAATGAGATTAAAATATTGGGTATTGTCATTATAAATTCATTTAAAATTTGAAACGGGAAATTGATTTTCTTTCATTATTATTTTTGATGAAAGATAATAAACTTTGCAATATATACTATCTTCAATACTCTAATAATAGATGGATGATTGATTATATAATGTTTTTATTAGACAAAAAAAATTTTCTTATATTAGTTAATTTTTTTAATGTTTTAGTTAAAACTTGATGTTTAATAATTTTTAGAAGTCATAGACCAAAGGGAAATAATTAACTGTCATGAAATTAAATTATTTTCTAATTAAAGTTTAACATATTTTAATTTAAATATTGTTATATATAGGTGTTGAAAATATTATTTGGCCAGGTCTTAATGCTCCAATAATAAAAGGCCGTGATTTATTGAAAAGAACACAATTACCCCCAGATCCTGAAAGAGAAGCTCGTCTCATTAAGCTTAGAGATGCTATGGGTACATTTAAACCATTACGACTTCTACCGACAGAACGGGGTTGGTCTGGTAATAAAATGCCTGGACGTAGCATTGGACCTCCTGATTCAATAAATGAATGTAAGTATCTTTCCATTTTATCAAATTACTCATAATACTGTAGTTCATTGTAGTATTTTTGGTTTAAAGTATTTATATTACATTATTTTGTAAAGACTTTATACTATCCACATAAAAAATGTTTATTTTGACATATTTTTAGGCTAGGTTTAAAAACATTTTTAGTTGTACTTTCAGAAGTTAAAAAAACATTCTTTACTTTTACTTAAATATCAAAAACTTTAAAAATTATTAAAAAATGTTGTCTTAAAATAAAATTTTATGTGTTAACCTTAGAAAATTGACCTTACTGTAAAGTTTAAAGTATCCATAAAAATAAGTATTATTGTCAATTTATTGTGTATTTTTTATATAAAAACTATGCCTTTCTAAATGTTGTGAACATATTTTATTTACAATGACTATTAACTACCTTGTATTACTCTGTTAAATTTTTTAGGATGCATACATTTTTTATATGAAATTATATTTAAAAAAAACCCAGCACAGTGGGGTCGCGGCATAGTGGGGATGTTGCATAGTTGGGTCCAGTATAGATTTAATCTGACAGTGATTAAAATCACTATCATAAGAAACGCTTCGATGCAAATCAGTAGATAGTGTTTAATTCTAAGAAATTGGTGGATAATTACAAAAGCTACATTATCTGCTAGTTTCTTATTAATACCCTGATTAAGATAAAGTATGTCGAATGAAAAAGGGATTATTAAAAAATATTATTTCTCATAAAAAAATTGTGTTGATTCGTACACTTTTCAATGAGTTATAGCATTATAAAGTTAAAAATGTAACCAACCCAACCCAACATCAACTCCTATTTCCTTAATTATATCCAGATTAGTAATTATTTTAATTATATATTATATAATTTTTATAATTAATTATTTTCAAATTATTATTGATTTTTAATATGTTAAAAGTAATCATTTTGAACCTACTTCTTTTTGTTCTTTAAAGTGAAAGTTTTAATAAAAAAAAAATGAATTTATTACCATAACTTTTAACTCAACTTGCAAGTTTGAAATAAATATTATTAAATAGAAAAAAATGAAATTGGTAGATTATTTCAAAAACAACAATAACACTTATTCCCTTAATTTTACCCCGATTTATAACTATAATATATGAATACATAATAATTACAGTAATTAAATTGAGTATGAAAGTGGTATTCAATAATATAATATTGTAATTTTTACGGAGATATTATAAAAATAAAAAGGAGTTGTATATTCATATACTTTTAATGCGTATACAAATTTAAAGGAATTTATGCAATACTTTTTAATAAAAAAATTTTGTTACTTATGAATAAATACACTAAACAAAAGGAACTTTCATCAGAAAAAAAATATACTTTTCTAAATAAACTTTTCGTGATGTTTTCAAATGTGCAATTAAACTTTTTCTATTACTTCTAAGTTTTAATATTATTACTTATTATTAAAAAATAAGTATTTACATATAAAAAAAAATAATTAAGAACAAAAAAAATTGTATTAAATTAATACTGATTTTGATTTTTAATATGTTAAAGGTAATCATTTTGAACCTATTTTTTATTGTCTTTTAAAGTGAAAGTTTTAATGAAAAATACCTTCTCAGCTTCGCATCGAAGCTAAAAAATGAATTTGTTACCATAACTTATAGTTCAACTTGCAAGTTTGAAATTGACATTATTAAATTGAAAAAAATGAAATTTTTAAGATTAATATGCAATCTGGAAATTTTATAATTACTAATTACAGTACATTTGTCAGAAAAATTCGATTTTTTTACATTTTTATCGTAATAGATAACTGAAATAGAAAGAATAGTAATCATATCCTAATAACTTTTGGTGTTTAAAAAAATTCTGCAATTGAAATATTCAGAACTTAATTAATTTTAATAATTTACTTTAATTAAATGAACCAATCAAACCAAAGTAGTTAAAAAGATTTACTCAATTGAGCATATTATCAAAAATATAATTATAATTGTAAAACTCCATCGTTAACTTCAGGTGAAACTAAAAATCATTTTTTTTTTAAATTTATGATTTATATAGCAACATATTACTAAAAAATTTGGCATATTATAGACTGGTAGTAGCACACAGAAATAGAGTTAAAAAATTAATAAATTATAAAGTAAAATTATTTACTTTTGTAGTTGAATACTTTTATCATATCAAATTTAATTCGACAATAAATAATTTAAGAATATTAAAAATTAATGATTTTAATTGTTTGTATGGACAAATCTAGTTAAGCTACTTTTTATTTGAATAAGGAATATTTTTTTGATTTTTAAGAGTAATAACTTAAACTAATCATTAACTTAAATATCATAAACTTAAATGAATCATTTGACGTATCGTTGAAAAAAGTAGGTCTAGTGAGGGTTGGCAAAATAAATCGTAGCCAGAAAAAGAACCACATAGTAAAATAATATTAACATGAATATCAATTTCTTCTCACGAGGGGAGACTATAGTGATAAGATCCTTTATATTTATTGAAATTATTGAATCTAAATGAGATAAATATCAAATGATTTGAAAATTCTATTCTAACTCAAAAAAAAAATGCAAAATTTTAGAAGCCACAAACGGATTTGAACCTCGTACCCTAGGCGTTAAAGATCAAGGTGTTACCCATTCGGCAACTATTCGTTGATTTTTGTTGCATGATAAAATTGGCTATTTAAGCTAACTCAAATTTAAAAATTACTTTTTCGACTTTAAAAAAGTAAAAAATGTTAATAAGTATAATATCATATGTCTTATGAACTTTATTCTATGTCAATGAAATTATATAATATTCATGAAAGTCAGTTTATTCCCCTAATAAAATATTTTAAAATAAAATAAAATACAAAACCTAGAATTTTAATAAAAAATAGCATATTTTTAAATACGGTAGCCTTTTGCGCATAGAAGATAGGTCGTCGGGACAAATTTTTTTTTTTCATTTAGTAGTACATAAAATAAGCTTTAATTTGATATATGTTTAAAGGACGCAGTATTTCCGGAACATTTTCAAAAATTAAGTTGAAAAAGTTAGTTTTTGTAAAAAAGTTGCTATTTTAATTTCCCCCTGTGAGCAGAATAAGTGTTAGATTTTCAAAAAAAAATGATATCAAATGAAAGGAAATCACCTAAGGTTTCAATATAAAGAAATATTATTTTGATTAGTTAATATTTGAAAAAGTTAAGGGAGTTTTAAGTACAAAAAACATTCCGATAGAAGGTGATTTTTATCGTAAACATTACATTTTTTTTATAATTTCGACAGCCATTTGCACATAGAAGATAAGGTGTCGGGACAAATTTTTTTTTTTCATTTTATAGTACATAAAAAAAGCTTTAATTTGATATATGTTTAAAGGACGCAGTATTTCCGGAACATTTTCAAAAGTTCAGTTGAAAAAGTTCTATTTTTTATACAATGTTTCAAAGTTTGAACCCCCCCTATATAAGGGGAAATTGTCTAATTTTAATAAAAAGTATGTCAAATGGAAGATGTACTTATAATGTATTTAGAAAAAAAAAAATTGTGCTGATACATGCATTTTTCGAAAAGTTATAGCATTTTTAAGTTGAAAATTAAAAATTGAAAATCGAAAATTTTAACACAAAAATAGTGTTTTTTTAACTACGGCAACCGTTTACATGCAGAAGATAAAGTGTCGGGACAAATTTTTTTTTTTCATTTTATAGTACATAAAATAAGCTTTAATTTGATATATGTTTAAAGGACGCAGTATTTCCGGAACATTTTCAAAAATTAAGTTGAAAAAGTTAGTTTTTGTAAAAAAGTTGCAATTTTAAATCCCCCCCCATGAGCAGGTTAAGTGTTAAATTTTCAAAAAAATTATATCAAATGAAAGGAAAATATCTAAGGTTTTAGTTTAAAAAAAAATTATGTTGATTTGTTGATTTTTGAAAAAGTTATGGAAGTTTTAAGAAAAAAAAGTGAAAAAAATGACAAAATTTGTCGATTTTTAAATTTGTAATTTTTTTGGATATTTCCCCCATTTGCGGGGAACGAGGGAAAATTTTTAAATTTTTAAGGGTAATGTCTTCAACTAGATACAATTTGTGATCTTTTGACGTATTGTTAAAAGAAATCGGTCCAGTGAGAGCTGAGAAAAAGTAGTGACAGACACAAAAAAAAAAAAAAATAAACACATCATGGTAAAATTAATACCTTCTCAGCTTCGCATCGAAGCTAAAATAAAATATTGGCTGTAAAAACATTTATAGAGGCATAGGTATATGTTATTCATTGAGGGTTTTAAATAAATATTTTTAATACAATTTAATTACATTTAAAAAATTATCCGTAATAGGAACTTTGAACCCCTCTAAACCTACCCCATATCAACATCCCTAACCAAACTTCTCCACTTTTAAAAATTTTAGGTAGACAAAAAAAATAAGTTTATTCTATATTTAAATTTATCAATGGCAAGCCCTCTTTTGCTATAACTTAATAGAAAATTATTGGAGATATGTTTGTTGTACATTTATATTAAGTAGTTTCTACAAAAAGATATTCATTAAAACATTTAATTAAAAATATTTATAATTTATTTGTTTCATTCATCAAAAAGTTAAATAATTGTAAGTAAAGAAAAAGATTAAAAAATTTACAGATTCCAAAAATGATAGACTTTTTTGAAATTTCCTCCATTTCTAAAGAACTAGACATTTTTTTTTCTTAAACTAGATATGATTAGTAATCTTTTGACATATTGTTAAAATTAAATGGTTTAGTAGGAACTAAGAAAAAGTTTAGATAGACCAAAAAAAAGAAAATTTGAAGCCAATATTCAATTAAAAAATTATAATATTTAAATATTGAATGTTTTCAGATAACTTTGATGGTTTTGATACTAAAGTTTTAGAATTTAAAACAGTTTTTTGTATGAAGGCAAATTCCGGACGTCATAGAAGGATGAGTGCTGTTGTAGTTACTGGTAATAAAAATGGTCTAGCAGGTTTTGCAATGGGTAAAGCAGCTGATGGAAAAGCTGCATTAAAACGTGCTAAAAATAGAGCTGGACAAAAACTTATATACATTGAACGTTACAATAACCATACAGTGTATCACGATTTTTATACTCAATTTTGTAATACTAAGATTTTTGTTGAAAAAAGACCTGAAGGTTATGGTTTAATTTGTCATAGAGCCATTAAAACTATCTGTGAAATAATTGGAATTAAAGATTTATATGCCAAAGTAGAAGGTTCAACAAATTTGCAAAATATAGTCAAAGCCTTTTTTTTAGGACTTCTTAGACAAGTATGTCATATTATTTGAATACTAATTTTTAGTTTATGTAGATAAATGTTTTCCTTTTTATATCTACTACATAGAAAACTCATCAACAACTAGCTGATGAAACAAAATATCATCTTGTTGAATTTAGAGAAGAAAATGATTATTTACCTGTAGTAGTAGCATCTCCTAGAGGTGAAGTAAAAGAAGACTCAAAAGAGGCACCCGATTTTTTGCAATATGTTATGGACAATAAAGTAAAATTAAGAAAAAAACAATTTCCACCATTCTACACCAAAAAAACTCATTGGTACATAAAACAAAAAAAAATGGAATCAATTAGAAATATGGACAAAGTAATAAAATTGAGATTAAAAAAAATGTTTAGTGTTTTTAATATAATATTTTTACAGGTAAAAATCAACTTGTTGGCAGAGTATAATGAAATCAGAAGCTTTTTAACAGATAAATATCCAGAATGTACACCTCCACTAAAGGGTTCATTTGAAAAGAAATCTGAAGAATTTGAAAACTAGAATAGTTTATACATAATTAAATATTGTTAGAAATAAATTGAGATGTATTTTGTTATATATTTACAAATTTTAGTTTACATGTATAATTTAACTAACAATATGAGTTAATATTCAGTTTAACATTTATAGACTAATTAAGCTTTATGGCACTGCAGTTTCTTCACCAGCCCAAGCTCTCAGATCAACTTTTGGTATTGATGAACTAGCACACGCCACTCTTTGATTTCTAAAAAACAAAGTGCCATACTAAACAAATCTTTATTATTGACAAAATTATATAACAGGCATTTAATTAACACACTGACATTTTTAAGCAAAAAGGTCATAAACAATATTTTTGTAATCTTACAGGACAGGCATAATAAACTTAGAGTAGTACTGTTTAGACTTAATTTTTAAATGTTAATTGCAATTCATTAAAATTCAATAATCGGTTCAATAAAGAACTTGTATTTTGTCAAAATATATGTGACTTATTTTCAACAAAAATATTGTTTACAACCTATTTGTTTAAAAACGTAGATATTTCAAATAGTTCTCAAGAAAAATTTCATTAAAATTATGCATAAAAACTGAATAATCAGAATACTTAATTTTCCTTACAGGAATGAAGGTTTCATAAAAGCTAATGGTTGTATTAGAGCCATTTCATCAGAATTGTCACATATTACTCGTGCTAAACTACTCTTTCTTAGTTCTTGCAGTTGAACTAAAAAATAATTATGTTAAATAGTAGAACATAAAAATCAGTAAAACACAAAATTATCTAAAACTATTTCCAATTTTATTTAATTATAAAAAGCGTTAGCTATAAACAGTGTGATATTTATGAATAACATTTATATAAACAAATAATAGTTTTATATAATTTGGAAAAAATTGTATTTGGCTGATTGACAAAAACAGGTTAATTATTATATTGCATGAATCTTTTAATATTAGCGACTCGATCTCTTAAAATAATAATTATAATAAGTAAATTCTTATTAGCATTTTTAGTATCATATGTTTGTCAATTTATAAATTGTCAAGTATTTTTTTAATTCATTATAGGATTATCAATTTTATTTTCTAAATGTTAATATACATATTTAGATAACTTATAAATAAATTATCTAATTAAAAATAGGACTGGTAGGTATAAACTTTTATTATTATATATTTATGTTTGTAATGTTATTACTACTTTAAAATATAGATTGGAGGTACGGATTTATATTGTTTTTATCATTACGCTATACTCTGTCAAGTTCGCACTTAAGAATATAGTTCAGAATCTAACACAGGTCACCTTTGCAAGTAAATACATTTATTATAATAGATACTACTATAATTTAATAAAAATCATAGTTTATATTTAGATATCTTAGAAATATAAATTCAACTTTTATCCATTGTTTGACATTCATAAAATTATAATTTTTTATGCTATGAAATAAATTCCTTTTAAAAGTATTATGTATCTTATTATTAATACTATATAATTAAATCTAAACATTAATATTTTGGAAAGATAAATAATGGCTTCATAGTTACACTAATTCAACTTTTATTTTTTGCTAAAATCATGTTTTAATATTTTATTTAGAAAAGTAACTGATTTAAAAAATGCACTTTTAAGCCATTATCAACTTAAAATGTAAGCTATAGGTTCAGTGGTCGAAGTGGCTCAAAATATGTGGAGGGATGCCCTCCATTTTTGTCGATAATTTGAATACACATTGAATAATATAAAGAGGGATGTATTATTTTAGAGATAATAAGTAGAGGTATGAAAAATGTAAATTAAAAAAAATTGAGGGATGGCACCCCCCCTTCAAACACTGTATAGATTGTAACTAATAATAATTTCTTCACTACTATCCCGGTCCTCATTTTTTTTTTTTTTGTAAGTACCCTAGATCATTTCCTAGATTTGAAATAAAATATGGGGAAAATGGTTTATTTTGAACTCTATTTGGTTTTTTATTTTTTGTAATTGTTGATCAGTGTCAACGCGAGAATAGAATTAATGGAATGTTTTTTTAGCGTGTTCCGGGTCACTAAAAGGATACATAGTATTGGCATAATTAGACTTATATTGAAGGGTATACATAAGAAAATATTTCATTACTCCCTCTAAACGAAAACAATTGTATTTTTACCATGTAATCATTTATTATGGGGGTTCTACTTTCCCTATTTCCACTCGTACAAAAAACCACCAAAACCTAGTGCCGACAATGGTCGTGTTTAATGTAAAACTAAATTCATAGAACTATAATGAAGTTTATAGGTCTATGATTTAAATCAATATCAAATCTCCACCACTATTTCAGACTGTAAAGATAATCTGTAGATTGAAAGTATAGCAATGAAAAGGTTATTAATGGCCAATGGAAATTTATTTTTATTTTTACTAAAATTTAACCATGAAAACATGAATATTAACTTATTTGAAAGAAGAAATAACTTTAGAACATTCTTAAGTTAAAAAAACGGTAGCACAATGGGGTCGCGGCACATTATTGATGTGGCATAGTTGGGAAAAGTATAGATGATATCTGACAGTGATTAAAAGCACTATCATAAGAAAAATTTCGATGCAAATCTGTAAATAGTGTTTATTTTAAGAAATTGATAGATTATTGAAAAACAAAATTCTAAATCAAAAAGAATTACAGAAAAATTGCAAAAAAAGTCATTGCCACGGGTAATGATTTTTACTGAATCGGCAAACGTTCGTCGCATTCGTTTTTTGATAAAATTGGTAATTAAAGCTAATTCAAATGTTAAAATTAATTTTTTCGACTTAAAAGAAAAAAAATTTGAAATAAGTTTAACATTATATTCTATGTCAATTAGATTTATATAATATTCATGTAAATCAGTGTACCCCCTTATAAGGTATTTTAAAATCTAATACCAAACATTTTAACACAAAAATAGCATGTTTTTTAACTACGAGAACCATTTGCACATAGAAGATAAGTCGTCGGGACAATTTTTTTTTTGAACTTATAGTACAAAACTATTTGCTTTATTTGAATATATGTTTGAACCTCGGAGTATTTCCGAAACATTTTCAAAACTTCAGTTGAAAAAGTTAAATTTTTGTGCAGAAGTTGCTATTTTGAATCCCCCCCTGTGGGCAGGTAAAGGTTCAGATTTTCAAAAAATTTATATCAAATGAAAGGTAAATATCTCAGGTTTCAATATGAAAAATAGTTATTTTGATTTATTCTTTTTTCAATAAGTTATGATAATTTTTAGAGAAAAAAAAATGTCGAAATTTATCGATTCTAAAAATTGTAATTTTTTGGGTGATTTTGAGTATTTACGGGGAACGAGAGAAAAATTTTTAATTTTTGAAGGTAATGTCTTCAACTAGATACAATTTATGATCTTTTGACGTATCGTTGAGAAAAATCGGCCCAGTGAGAGCTGAGAAAAAGTAGTAACAGACAAAAAAAATAAACACATCATGGTAAAATTAATACCTTTCTCAACTTCGCATCGAAGCTAACAAAGCCATTTTTATTTTTTCTATTTGATAATATAAACTTCAAACTTGCAAATTGAATTAAAAAAAGTTTAATAGTTCAACATTTTTTATTGTAACTATCATAAAAATCAACTTTAAAGAACCAAAATATTGGGTTTAATATGATATTTTGAATCGCATTTTTACATGTTTATTTTTAACATACTGAAAAAAAATGTTTAAATGTAAATACTCGTTTTTATAAATTATTAATAATCTAAAAAAAGAGATGAGGGAAAAAATCTTATTGCAGATTTGAAATCAGCGTAAAAACTTGGTTTATCAAAGTATATTTTGGTCTATGCTGATTAAAAAATGTTTCATTTTAGTGATATGATTTTATTGTGTAATTTAGTATAAAAAGAAGCATATGGATGTTAAATTGAATCTATGATTATTACAACTGAACATGACATTTATTCAGATAAGAGTAGATTTTTTTAAATAAAATTTTACATTCAATTAGTTTACATAAAAAATAAATACATTTTTCACAGCATAAAATTAATTTTTTATAGTAGATTCATCACTTCCTCTATTGGACATTAGGTAAGAACTACATGTTTTACATAAAAAATGATGTAATAGCTAAAAAAATGTTGTCCCCCTCAGAGAATTTTTTTGGCTTCGTACTTGATCATATATAATTATATTCTTCCATAAAATAAATTTAAATTACGGTATAGTGTGAACTTCCATAAAACAATATCAATTCCAAAATTTTCTTACCTTGATCAAAAGCAGAAAGTTGACCTGCTTCTTCGTAAAAGAATCGATCGCCACGTCGTAATCTAGAAAATTGATCTCCAACGATGCATACAAAAGTAGGCCCCAACAAAGCATCTGCCATAGATTTTTCTGCAACTCCACCAATATATAAATCAATATCGTCTACTGAATTATATAATCTTGCTAATCTCGTAATAGTCTAAAATAAAATAATATTATAATAAAATAGAATTTTATGTCTTATGTGTTGAGAGTACTTGTGGTTCCATGAACTCTTCTAAGTCATTCCAGCTTTTAGCCCTTTTATAGCCACATACCTCGCGCCAATCATTGTAGGGTGGTAAACCATGATCGCGCCCTCTCTGTACATTTAACGCAACAAGGTCTAATCCAAAGTTCAAATTCCCTTGAAACAAATGATCAGTTACCTATAATATTTAAAAATTTACATTATTATAAATCTTTATCCACACATATGTGTGTTATTCATTAATTTTTTAAGGAAAGTTAACTTACTTCTTTGGTGAAAAATCGATCGAATTTTTGTGAACTTTGAAACGACAGTCCTCTGATGAAATCATCCAATGCGCCATCTTTATAAATACTAAATGGAGCGAAATGTTGCTTACTGAGAACTAAGTTCTCTCTTATGTTACCAAATTTTCCATATCCACTATAACATTTATTAGAATTCTTTATTTTTTTAATTATTTAACTTAATAAAATATATTATGTAAAAACAACTTTCCTAAATTAAATCCAATAACTTTTTGTTAATATTATGCACCAGTTAAGCTCTTACGGGTGAGTTTTATAAAAAAAGTTAAGTTAAATCAATGTTTATATAATGCACATAGCATAGCGTTACGCAATGAACACGCTGGTTGCTTACAAGCTTTAGCTTTAAGTCGCATCTGCCTTAGAGCTTCCCGATAGGTATTCATTTAGTAGCTTTCACAACGAAAGAAGCACTATGTGTAGAAGACATGTTTTTCCCTTTTTTTAATTATTTCCATCTACACACCTCTTCATCTAAGATTGACTGCTATTAAATCAACATCTGGTCGATAACCGGTTAGTAGTAATATACTACAAGTTAAAAAAATTAGTCCCGAAAAATAATCTATCAATAAATTAACGAATTAACTAACAACAAACTTATTGGCAATTTTTATGTTCTAGCTACATTTATTGACTTAAAGTACATACTGAAGTGTCATGAGGTATTCATCGCCAACGATTATTAGTCAGTGGTATATTGAGGGGAGGGTACAAAAGGCGCGTGCTTTATTCTTAATTATCTTTGTTTACTAAAAAAAAACGAAAAAGGCCTTTTAAATGATAAAATTGGCCAAAATTTTATTTTAATATTTATAAATTGTTTGCGTCACTCTTTAAAAAATTCTGAATCCACACCCATAATGAGTTTATACTAATTGTATCATTTGCCACCCAACAAGTACAATAATAACTCAAAAGTAAACACAGGACTGTACAGGATTTTTTAATTTTCTTAAAATAAAATTAACTATATCAGATTAAAATTTAGCATACAAGGACAAAATTCAATTAAAAATCCTCGAACCCCAATTTATTTATAGAAAAACAAATTAATTACAGCTAAACACATTTAGAGGTGACACCTCAAAATAAATGCAGAATAAAATCAAGCCTTTTTATCTTTGAAATTTTTTAATTATAATATTTTCTAAATAAATATATATATAGTATAAATAATATAAAAACCTTTCTTACTGAATATTTCCTTGAATAAGCGTATGTCCAAACCGATAAGCTGCTCCCGCAAAAGAATTTGTTATACCAGCGTTTAATTCCGAATCATATTTCCTTGTCCATCCAACTTCCTCTGGTGATAAACCAAATTTATTCATGTATGTTCTACCTATAAAATAAAATTTGACAAACTTTACATAAAAATATCATTAGATTAAATTGAACTAAATTTTAGTATTACTACACTAACCTAAAATAATAGGAAGAAATTCATTATATGTAATGTGTTGTATTTGAGCGATTACAATCCTTCGAGTTTCTTGAAATAATGCTTCATCACTCCATCTAGGATTTAACCTTGATAATTCCATTGCAATTCTATTGTGTTCCCTTAACCAAATCGTATGCATTATAGCAAGATCAAGCTGTTCGTTTACCCGCGCATCTCCTACAAATTACATAACATAATTATTTTACGCAAAATCCATTACATTAATATATATTTTTAGCATAAATTTCATACTTAAATTACAATTTAACATAAATTATACTTATAATAGATATATACAGAGTCATTACCTGCCCTGAAGCAAGCTGCTCTGCCTGTATCATCTGAGCATTCTGATGGATTAGCTGGTAATAGATGTTTTCCTCTAATATTTTGAAATTGCATCATACCACTCTGAAACGTTCTAAGAGTCTGTTGTGAGGACAATGAAGATCCATAAATACTAGAACCGTCCAAATAGGCAGTAATCTGGTTCATCTTAAATTTCCCATAATATTCAATAATCATTAACAAAACTATATTAACTCTAATTTAATAATTACTTGTTCTCTAGGCCCAAAATTACACTCAGGACGAGGAGCTGGTAAAGATCTTACAAACTCCATACATCTTTCATTAAATGGTCCAAACATTTGATCATTGCGTGGTATTTCTATAGGAAAACAATCTGGATGTTGAAGAGAAACATCTATCTCTCGACCATTTCTACAACATGTTATACCACTACCCATCTGACCTCGACTTATTGGGGTTTGTGTCATATCGTGATCTAGGAACTGACCCCATTGCATAAGCAACATTGTGTAATTTTCAGATGGCGCATCTACATCTTGGGTAAATGTGATGCTCACCACTCTAGCGCTAGGCAATGGAGAGCCATCAGATGCTTTTGATCTTGGCAAGTTAACTCCTATTGAATAGTAGCTAATAAATAAACTAGACATCGATTAATAAATAATCGTAAAAAGTTATTTTTAACACACCGTCAGCATATTTTGGAGGCAAAATACGCTGAAGAGCTGTACTGGCACGTCCCCATTGTTCATGTTGGATATTATTACATGATCCATCAGTCGATCTATATTTGTGTGGTTGACAAAAAGAAGTTCTTGGACAAGTATCACCAAGTACCGTATCTAGAATACTGAAATTGGGTAGAGCGAATGTACCTTGATCACGTGTTAAATTGAAGCTAAAATAGGTAATATCTCTCAGTTATAATTTAAGTAATGAAAATGTTAATGACTCACTTATTAACTAAACCTAAACTTGCATCTACAGATTTTTGAGCTTGTTCTCCCTGCGATAAAGTTTCATTAGTGGTCTGGAAAAGCTCTTGATGCCATGCAGCTGCACTTCCCGTGGGTAACAAGATTCTCTTAGTGAATAATGATGTAACCAATACTTGACGTTCGTTGAGCTGCTGTATAGCGTTAACCGCCGCATCGTTTAACTGTTGTGAGGTAAGAGGAGGAATGATCACTGGTGGTGGAGGTGGAGCTCTTATTACACCGGTTACCAGCTGATTATCTAAAAATTGAATGTTAAATTATTTAAAAGTATATAATATTTATACAGAGGTTCTCACACCTAACTAATAACGCTTATAACTTCCTAAACTTATTAATTTTTTCCATAAAAATGAATATTTTGAATTTTAATTATAAATAAATAAATTTTTTTTCTTAATAGTTATGAATAATAAAAAATATGCATTAAACGTAGTCTATGAAGGTAATATATATATATATATATATGTGTTAATTTCAACAAAATGATAATTGTATCAAAAGTTAAGCGATGTCAGTAATATATCTATATACCACGTGTAAAAAACCTGTTTGTCACCTGTTTTTCTTATATAAACAATATTTTATGAGTTATAGAGATAAATGGTAAATCAATGACCTATTTATATACTCAGAATATTAAAGTAACTAAATCTTAAAAATATTGCAATGGTTATTTTATAGATATATTTAAAATATTTAGTTTAAATGATTTATTAAAAATAACCTTATACTAATATCCACCATAATAGCAATTCGGGCAAATACAATGATTCAGAGATAAAAACAACTGTCAAATGTATAAACACCATTTATTTGTTCATAATACATAAAATTAGTTATTTAATTGATTATACTCACTTATCACTTAAACAAAACCTTGATACACCTTTATGTGAAATATATACATAAAATATCACAGTAAATAAATAAAATTTCTTCCAACAAAGGACTTGTAATTGTTAATGAACTTAAAGTATAGTTTCTAGATAATTAATTTTTACATCCAAAGCGACTTCACTTTCTCAATTCAATGTAATATTATCTGTTTTATAACACTTGTACATTTATTTGGTTTATTTCAGGGAAATGTATTATAACTACGTGAAATAATAACAATTTTAGTGCTATATAATAATAAGGCCAAATTAATTATAGTTATTTTTTGACCTCAAAAAATATTAAATTATGTTATGCAGGCTAAAATAAATAATTATATGATACTCTAATCAATATAATAATAAAATCCAATTTTAAAAAATTTTATAAGAAGCTATATTTTTTACTTTTTCCAAAAACTAAGTGGCTATGGCAGCGAAAGGAAAATTTACTCTTGGCCTATAGTCTAAAATATAACGGATAAAAAATGTTATTTTAAATTAAAAAAGGTCACTACAGTTTTATTTCTTAATATAAGGTCGAAACATTGTCAGTGACGTAGTCGTAAATTTATTAGTATACACTTAAAAATCTTGATAGGTGAACATGAAAATTTCGTCCATCATACCGCCTTCCACTTTTTATAAATGGTCTTATTCCCTCCCTTTAAATAATCATCACTTGTTAAAAAAAAACTCTTTACATGATAAATGACCAAAAGAACATTAATTAATGACTAGAAAAAATGTTGTTCCCATCTCGAAAAAATTGATCTATTACTGCTTCGTAATTATTACCTTATATATACAATTATTTGCAAATACATATATTAATTTTTATATTCCTAGATTATCATTATATACTACAACAGTTTTTTCACTTATACTTAATTAACAACCTTTATGTCTCAATAAAATAACAAAAAAAACGTATCATAGTAAAATTAATACTCTCTCAGCTTCGCATCAAAGCTAAAATAAATTACCTGGTATTCCGAACATATAATATCATATCAGAATACAGTGACCATGATGATGAACAGAATATTACACCAACATTTGATAATTCAACAAAAATTGAAAAGTGGGTTTACGCTGTATATTTATTTCGTATACCCACAGAAAAAAATATAAATAACAAACGTGCATGATCATTAAATAATTAAGATTTTTATTTGGAACATTTAATATAGATCTTAGATGACTTTTCATTGTTTCAATAACTATAAATTATTTATTCATCAAAAATAAGATCAAAAGATTAATATAATTGATTAGACTAATAAAACAACCTTTAAAATAAAAATTTTTTTTATTCTTTAAATATATTGAAATAAAATGTGTTTCGCAGTGCCCACCGTCTACAATTATCCTATTGTAACTATTAACAATTTTGAATAGTCTTATAACAAGCTATAAATTAAAATTACCTGGTTTACGATTTCTGGCAGGACAACAAACACCAAATTCATTAACTGCTAACTTACATGGCTGTTTTTTGAGTTCAGGTAATTCTGCGTAAAATGACAAACAATTAACTAGCGGTTTACAAGTTCCTGGTTCTCCACTGACTGTACTACATGATCCAGAAGATTGATTTTTTAATGGTTTTTGTTGTATTGGAATTGGTACTTGCATTTTTTGCTGTTGAAATTGTGATACATCTATAAGCGGTACGGGCTGGAATTTAACTTTACCACTTAACCTTTCTTGTATTCGTTGTTGTAAAACAAGCATTTGTTGTTGAATTTCTTGGAGTACACGCATAAATTCGTCATATTGCAACATCAATGATTGTCGGTGTACAGCGTCTTGGGGCTGTGCTTCGAGCGCCTGTTTGACTTGTTGCAGTTGCACTTGAACATCATTCAACCGAAACTGTAGTTGTTGTTGCTGTAACTGCTCAGGGAAAAGTTCTGTAAGAAATGGTTGTTGTGGTTGAGTCTGAACGGCGCTGAAGAGCCACGCGCCGAACAGAACTGTCATCAAGTTTTGAATCATGTTGCAGCTTGGACGTGCAAACGTCAACTGAAGTCAGTACCACTATTATGTGGTCACTTGTAGATACAGTGAGCCGCGAAACAACCGTCTCAGTTTACGTGGGACGATCACTTATTCACCCCGTTCAAGGTCGCAAACACGCACACGCACACTAATTACAAATGATGTTTTTCCTCTTAATACTTTATTTTTTTGGCAATAGCTACAGCCCATGTACACTACTTAAGACGACTATCCGTTAAAAATGGAAAAACCCGGGTCATTTTAAATATTACAATGTGAACTAAAGAGAAGGTACATGATCACTGCTGGAGGTCTCGTATTTCGCAAAAAATTATTTAAAGTATTAATGCACGTCTTAAAAAGTAATTTGAATCATCAATAATCGCTATTTTTCTTTATAACTCGTAATGGCTTGTTTCCAATTTTTTTCATAAAAAATAAATTACAATGTGTACTAGTTTTATTTTAGTCAATTATTAAAATAATAATAATTTAATTTCAGTAAATAACTAATAATTTTAAGCTTCGTTTTAACGATAATTAGTATACATTTTTCGTAGCTAAATAGTAAATTAAATAACGGTTGTAAAACAAGGATGTGTTAGACGTAGAAATGGAACTACTTTCAATAGCAAAAGTGTAATTTCAAATAATTCATTCGGCATAACGGTTTACTTTTTACTCGCATTAAATATAAACTAGAAAGAGTTCTACTATGCTTGATTGCGACGTATACATTGAATTTGCCTATTAAATTATTTCTATTTGTAAAAATGCCTTATTATTTTGAGACTAATAATCAGCAAGGTTTGCAATTATCATTACGGCAAATCACAATTCAATATTATTCATAGACTCTTAGCTATGATGTTACCATGTATCATTGTATCAAAACATATTGTAATTAACGTTCACGGCAATATTTTTTTATTTTAATTTTATGTATGTATTATACACCTACATGCTTTCCCTCACGGGTGCATATCATTGTATTTAATGAATAAGATGCGCACCTCCATAGGCATATTACGATTGTATATTAAGACAAAGGATCAATGTCATTTCGCAGTAGTCAGATTCAAGAATTCTACCAAAATCCCTGAACAATTTTATTTTTATAGCTGTATAAGTATAGTTAAAGGGTACTCAGTTATTGTTTTAAAGACATGACACTTTATGTAAATCCGACTATTATACATACAATGTGTTGCATACGCTTTGTTCACCTTAATATTATGTTTTAGTTCGACCTTACTTTTAATTAATATTGATACCTGTAGTATGGTGTAATACTTGATGACTAAATTAAAATAGTTTAGATAATTCTATGGCGAATGCCAGATTTGGTACTATATAATGATCAAATGCAATGTCAACATTACATACTATTATATAGCATAATATGGTCTGAAGCGTAGTTGTTTTTAATTTCATGATATCTGTTAAAACAATTTTATTATTTGTTAAAAAAAAAAATTAATAATAAGAAAACTTGTAGATTTAGAGAAATGTTATGTAAAATAAATGAGGTGGAGAAATACATGTTCTCATAATTAATAAATTATACTTAAAAGGTATATTAGTCATTCTTTTAAAACCTAAAACATTTATTAGGGTTTAAAAAAATATATTAAAAAATGTCCAATAATGTTATCTTAATTATATCAAAGGGTTCAACTGTTTTACAAGATTACTTTCTTTTAAAGCTTTTCACGTAATAAAGTAATATTCTACTAAGTTATGCGGTAGTATAAGTATAGTTTTAAAAATCTGACCCTTTGTATATCCACAAAAAGAAAATCAAAATTGCAACTTTTATACAGAGAGCTTATATTTTCAACTTAACTTTTAAAATGTTCCGGATTTAAATCATATCTTCTTCTTTTTTCTCGCCTCTATCACAGCTACTTGAAATCAGCCCCCGTATCTTTAATTTCCACTTGACACGATCTCCCACATTATCTCGCACACACCAGCTGTCCTCATATTACATTTAATAACATCACTCTATCTCTTTTTTGGTTTTCATCTACCTCTTCTTCCTTCAACATTCATTTCCTTAATTGTTATCATTAACTCATTATTTACTATAAGTTAAAAAAAAAATTATCCCGACACTTTCTCTTTCATGCGTAAACTCACTTGAAGCTAAACAAAAAATGTTGTTTAGGTCTAAAATATCAACCTTCTTTATGTTATTATTTTTACATAAAATTGTCATAACTTTTTGAAAAATTAATAATTTAAAATAATTTTTTTTTCATAATTAAATTTTATTTTTTTGATGCTTATTTTTAAAATAATTATCTAAAGTTGTCCGGTATTTTATGACCTCGATTATATTTAATAAACATTAACTTACTAACTATAATTAAATAAAACTATAACTAGTAAGAAGGCAGAATGTTTCCTACAGAATTGGGAAACCACTGTATTTAGTTATTCTCCAGGATACACTAGTCTAATGATCAGCTGTACATCCTTTTATTTTCCAAACTTAACATACTACAGAAGGTGGTAGCCTTCTTTCACATTATAGGAAGTCAATGATGGTTCTTGGCTAGGCCAATGATGGGTGGGACGGGTATTATGGCCGACTAGCACTTGAGACCAGACTCCAATAATAAGATCACAAGAAAAATCTCTTTGGCATCCTGGGGATAGAGCTTGGGTCACCGTCCGCCAAAACATACATGTATGATTCTAACCACTAGGCTAGGCTAACCCCTTCAAAGACACACCAGACTAATTTTCAAAAATTGGCTGGCGTCAACCAACATAATGATTGAAAAAAACAACTAATTAAACATTATTACTTAGTACTCTGATCAACATCTGGGTAAAAGTATAGTTTTTAAATTAAAGAAATTTAAAAACTTATTCTTTTTCATTTTACATTCTTTAATCACAATAATTTTGATATTTGCAAAATGTTGCTTTAATTTTAATTCAATATTTTGAATTATTTTGTTTTTAGCTTCGATGCGAAGCCGAGAAGGTTTAATTTTACCGTGATGTGTTTTTAGCTTCGATGCGAAGCTGAGAAGGTATTGGTTTTACTATGATGTGTTTTTTTTTTTTTTTTTTTTTTTTTTTTTTTTTTGT